TCATCAAAAAATATTTGAACGATTCATTCAATGAAATTTATCAGAATAGTTGCATTGTATCCAATTATGTTTTTTCAATAATATCATCGATTTGCTGCAACAACAATTTAAAATAATATACGAAAAAATTGTTTATCTTTCTGTTATTACACACACGTCGGTGGACAGCAGCATCACTAATTGGGCTAAAAAGTGCGTAATCTTGCATCATAGCCTGACATTAGCGCTCATTTCACACGAAACTATGGATATTATTTAGTCACCCATGGCTCAGGAAACGATTGATCATGAGTAAGATAAGTGTGGTATCGCGTGACCGACGCTAAAGTTCAAAGATAATACATGGGGTAAAATAGCTTCTTAATTGATTACTGTCACGAAATTTATTATGACATGATAATATACTGATCATAAGACGTCTGCTGAGACGCAGTCTTCGTCACGGCATGTAAAAAAATGTCGGATTAAAACATTCGATTTTGAAGTCTGTTTAGACTTGAAAATTGAAGAATTTAATTCAAAAATTACCTTAAAGTATCAATACTAAATACCATTATAATCCAGCAACAAATAGTCATATCACTATTTACATTTCGCCATAAAATGCATTAGGCTTAATTCGAAGTGACAGAATTTTTCTAAATTCAAATTACCATTGCATTTGTAACCAATGACCGATGCATTCATGTTCCGGGCAATATAAAACGACGAAACATGGTCACGTCATACATATTATGGATCAATTCTATTTAATAACTCGTCAATTTCAGGAGCTGCTAGAAGCCTTCACAAACCCACGTCAGACGTTAGTTCCAGACAGCATTATTAGAGCTCATACTTACGCGCTCAGAACTCGTGGACTTACGCGCCCAGAACTCGTCGACTTACGCGCCCAGAACTCGTCGACTTACGCGCCCAGAACTCGTCGACTTACGCGCCCAGAACTCGTCGACTTACTTGCGTGTAGAGCTTTGTACTTGCGTGTAGACCTTTGTACTTGCGTGTAGACCTTTGTACTTGCGTGTAGACTTTTATACTTGCGTGTGAACTTCTGTACTTGCGTGTAGACCTTTGTACTTGCGTGTAGACCTTTGTACTTGCGTGTAGACCTATATACTTGCGTGTTAAATTTGGTACTTGCGTGTAGATCTTGTACTTGCGTGTAGACCTTTGTACTTGCGTGTAAACCTTTTTACTTGCGTGTAGACCTTTGTTTTTGCATGTAGACCTTTGTATTTGCGTGTAGACTTTTGTACTTGCGTGTAGACCTTTGTACTTGCGTGTAGACCTTTATACTTGCGGATGAACCTTTGTACTTGCGTGTAGACCTTTGTACTTGCGTGTAGACCTTTGTACTTGCGTGTAGACCTTTATACTTGCGTGTGAACCTTGGTACTTGCGTGTAGACCTTTGTACTTGCGTGTAGACCTTTGTACTTGCGTGTGAACCTTTGCACTTGCGTGTAGACCTTTGTACTTGCGTGTAGACCTTTAAACATGCGTGTAGACCTTTGTACTTGCGTGTAGACCTTTAAACTTGCGTGTAGACCTTTCTACTTGCGTGTAGACCTTTAAACTTGCGTGTAGACCTTTGTACTTGCGTGTAGACCTCTAAACTTGTGTGTAGACCTTGGCGTGAAGACATTTGCGTGAAGACATTTGCGTGTGCTGAAGTGCGTGTACCGTGGCTCCTCCAGTGCGTCGATTAAGGATAACTGTAATTCCATCATCATGTCATGTCAAGTTTTGCCATCAATTTAATCCCCGAAAATATTGTGTGAAGGCCGGTGAGTATGTCACGATTCCTTCAGTATCAATATTTTCAATTTTCTGATTCCTATTTTCTGTTATTTATTATTAAGTGCTCATTTATGTGTAATTTGTTCACAATTATGTAAGGTTTTTTGTACTCTACCTATATGAATAATTTAACTTTTGTCGTCATTATTTTTGAACAAATCCTAGAGAATAAATAAATAAGCAATTAAATGAAACTACGCAATGTTCAACATCGTTAACTTCTATCATTTACAGCACTAGCACCTGTTTATTGCAGTTGATTGATAGGTTCTTTCGTTCATTAATAATGCATAATCGAAAACTTTCTTCCTTGTTTATATTTCATAATTGCTAATTTAAATAAGTTTCAAATATATTGGCTGTTGTTATTTACGAATTATCTGCACAAGCGCTATATTTCACGGACTAGGATTCCTGCTTCCATTCTGCATTCCTTCATTAAAGAACCGTCGGCATAATATCAGTGCATAAATTTCCCAGGCGAAAAAGGTCAAGTTATGCATGATATGAACCATCTGTTGTGGCCGAGAAAAAGTCGCACCACCTGTAAAACCATTTACTTGTTCCTCCTAAACCCGACAAACTACGAGGTGGCAAGCGGCGTAAAAAGAACCTAACATACTGGGACTCCCGGAGTATGGCACTGAGTTAGGTCCCTGATATTTTGAAATATTATTTATATTTTTCCCAGTTATTTTAGTTACTGCACGAAGTTATATGCCAATCTCCGTCTATGCCTCTCAGGTTAAAATGATTTAACAACATAGAATAAAAAAGTTATTACATTTTTTCAGCTTGGAATAAAATGATCTGGGACAAAGACACATGTTTGAAGATTGTCATTCATTCATTGACGATCTTAAAATTCATAAATTTCTATTAATTCTTCTTTGAACAATGAATTTTATACTACTGTGCCATTTCTGAAATGCTTCCAACATTTCTGAGATGAACAAGCGGGGGTTTAATTATTCATTTGACATTTAATTTTAAAGAACGGCATTAGTTGTCCATTGACATTGCACGAATAAGACTTCCATGTGAGAGATTTTTAATTAGCCATTCATGAAGCAATTTTAATTAATCCTTTAAAAACGTGCCTGGAGACTTTTGATGTCATTAATGAAATATATCATCTCGGATTATACCAAAAATTCGTGAGCTACTGAACGCGCACTTAGAACTTTCTTCTTCGCGAAATGAATCTTTATGTGCTTATGTTTTATTCCCGTGCTTATGGTTGTTGCATATTATATGCAGATATCACTTCGAGCTAAAAGAATTTTTTGTTGTTGTATTTAGCGCATTACAGAAATTATCCGCTTCAGGGGCGAAGACTTTCAGCACTGGTAAATATCATCCTTTGAAATCCTCGTTCACTTTCAGTTTTAGTTAGTTTCAGAAATGATCACTTCGAGGATTATTTTCTAGACTTGCTATTACCTGCACTGTTTACCACTCCCTCAAACGAACACTTTCACAGGGTATAACTTTTATGTGAAAAAAATTAAATATTCGCAGGGGTGATTGTATCCATCAGTGATCACCCTCAATGGTGATAATTTAAATTGTGTGTCACTTTCAGGAATGAGCATTCGGAACAGTGAACACCTCAACGTTTATCATTTCCAATTATGATTACTACCAACGTTTGTAACTTTCTCGGGTAATATTTGATTACCCATTAAGTTCACTTTCATTTGATGTTCACTTTCAACAATAATCGCGTTTAGAAGTGATCACGCTCAACAGAAATCGTTTTATCACTTTCAGCATTGATCTGATCACGTTCACCAACGATCACTTCTTTGCAAAATCAGTGTCAACTACTTGAAAATGATTGCAATCATCAGTAATCACTCTCAGCAAATAACTATATCATTCTATATTTTATACGATACTATATATACCATTATTGATAGCTGTCACCTCTTATCATTCTCATCAATGCGTCGCATTTACATTCAGATTTGCATAGTCTTCTTTTGTGGGCGCCTCATTGAAGGCGTATTGCGCTTCAGGTCGAGATGTTCGTCCTCAAACGAACTCGTGTCTTCAGAATTCGAATAATCTGAGTACTTGAGAGCCACTTTGAGTACCTGGATAACTGAAGCCTGCATCTAATATGGCGTCCGTCTTCCAAATTTTCACAGCTGATAGAACTAGTCTAAATCCAATTTCACAAATTTTTTTTTGTTTTTGACATTTTTCAACGGCACATAAACTAATAAACACACCAGTTCATTTTGAAATCTATCAAAATCTGCCTAATGGCAGATTTTAATCTAATGGCAGATTTTTAATCAATTAATTGTATTGGCTTTTTTGCGTAACCACATAAATGCTGCGAATAAATCAATTGAATGGGGCTAAAGATTTTTGCTAACATTCAATATTATCGGGATGACTTCACGCAATCTTTATTCCAGGATCGCTGAGCATAAGGGCAGGAGTTGTAGGACCGGACATAGACTGCGTATTGCGCTTCAAGTCGAGATGTTCGTCGTCAAACGAACTCGCGCCTTCAGAATTTGAATAATCAGAGTACTTGAGTGCCACTTTGAGTACTGAAGCCTACATCTAATATGGCGTCTTTCAAATATTCACAGCTGATAGAACTAGTCTAAATCCAATTTCACAATTTTTATTGTTTTTGACATTTTTCAACCGCACATAAACTAGAAAGTTCATTTTGGGATCTATCAAAATCTGACTAATGGTAAACTCTCAATGAATTTTATTGGCTTTCTTACGTAACCACATAAATGCTGCGAAAAAATCAATTGAATGGGGCTAAAGATTGTTGCTAAGCATCAATATTAGTGATGTAGAGAAGGAAACTTTGGAATTTTCAGAAATCAGCAGAGAGTTCGTGAGGGTGGCCGTATTATGCACATATTATTGAGGGTGGGTCATACACACATTTATTGACAATTTATAATACTTTTAGTTTCAGCAGACGCTTCAACAACCAACACATTTAGGTATTGAAGGGAATTCATGAATTAAAGATCTAATTTTCTCATATTATATGTCATGTTGCATCTTGAATTTTTATAATCATNTATGAATTAAAGATCTAATTTTCTCATATTATGTCATGTTGCATCTTGAATTCTTATGATCATTTCTCGCATTCATCCAACAGGTATCTTTTTTGACTTGCAGGTTATAAAGCATAAATAGGGGCTAATAAACATATTCGAATATCTTTGAGCATCAGTCGTGATGACCCATGATAATCAACCTCATTTATAAAATGATTTCCATCAAGCCTCTATGGAAATTTAAAGTGTGAGATGGAAACAAACCCCTTATAGTTTTCCTTGTAAATCCTCACTATGCGACGTCCAGTGATCTCCCAGACGTCGTGTAATGTGCCAGGGTATTTCTGCCGCGTTGCAAACCATTATATTGATACCTCGACGACATCCAATAGAACTCCACCGGAAGAAACCCTGTGGATTTTAATGAAGACATCGTCCGTGCGCAACGGTCGTTGGTAGCATGTGTGATGTTTACAACTTGTACGGCCAAGCGCCCTCGAAAGATGCCGAGAGCACGCCTTTGACAATCATTTCCTCACACGTTCAGCTGGACCCGCAAGACTGCCAAGTTTCATTCACTTACCGCAGAAATGGATCGGTCGACTCGGGTCGTCTGTCTTTGCACAGTCAAGAGCAGGCGATTCATGCGTCCACGCTCAGGCCATCTTATGGGCGAAATGACATGCAGCCCATTAAAACGGACCCTAAATACCAGTCGCAGACTCTGGACACAAGGGCCCTCCAGAGGTGCATGGACCCAACAAATTCAGAAACAAAATACATTGATTCCCGGGCTAGGGATTCAAGAACTGTCGATTCAAGAGAAGAAGGCAATGGACTTAGGCTTGGCACTGACCCGACCATATTACAGGACCGATGCGCAACACTTGACCGGCACGGGTTCAACGCGGGTCACCCTTATCATAAATTATCTCATCAAGATCTTCATTACTCGCAGCTGACGCTGACCCAAACCACGCCGCAAGTCATCACTCCGGAAACTATGGTACCTCTTCACTCCCTCACAGACTTGGGCGTAATATCCTACAGCAACTCCACGGAAACATTAAGTGCCTCTAACAAGCATCCTAACGGCGCAGCGCGACCGTACGGAATGCCGTCCTCGGGTTCTTGCAGTCGACTTGCAAAAAGAAGTTCTTCGTCTACCAGCCTCGGACTTGAAGCTGAGGATTCCCATGCCTGCTGCTGCTCGACCTGCGGCTGCTGGAAGATCTTCATCTCTCTCTTCATGTGCCTCGTCATCTTTGGCGCGGTCGTGGTCGCTCTCTACTTCGTCATCAGATGTACGTGCGATTACTGTAACTCAAATTAACCGTAGTCGGCAGTCTCGCCATGATTAGACTTGTATAATTTCTTACATATCGTAGTAATATCGGTCTCTTTCATGCTTTGATCATAATATTACACCTATCTCGCTCTTTCATGGTCTCAAGAATGTAATTTTCATATTCTTCTTTGAGTTTGTGTTCATCCACATGAAAAAAATACAAAGCAAAGTAACGCGGGAAAGTTCACAAGGAACCGGAGTTTATCTTTGAGGTAAAAGGGTAACCCAGATCCACTCGTAACGCTCTTTCAACGTCCGTGGTCAAAAGACTAACAAGTGCGACATAAACCTACGAAATAAACGGTTTTTAATTTACTAATACCATTTTTATTTAACAATAACTCAATCCTTGACTGTTAACTAAAAAAATCTGCGTTTAATATTTCGGTATTGTTCACGTACTGTAATGCCTTTATTTGAGATACTGAAATCAATAAAACATTTCCTTTTTTTTCAGATGCCCCTTACAAAAGCCTACCGATTTCCGAAGAAGGTAAGCTTTTCTCCATGCATTGTGTTTTAAAAGCTTTGAACCTCTCGATTTTTGTTTTCTGAGATGCAGCTTTCATGTACATTTTTGACTTTCCAGCTTTGGCCTAAAGCAAAGACGCCTGCTGTTCTGGATGGAGGCGTGGAAGCTCTTTATTTACCCTGAATGTTTTTTTTAAATAAGCACGAGGTGTTGTCACACAGGAGCAACCCACTCACTTGCTTGATGATGGGGTGAAAAAGTTATCCATCTTGCAGCTATTTGGCATCCCCAAAATAATATTCCTGTGCAGTTTGAAATGAATCTCAATAGTGTTAAGCTTAAAGTGCAGTTTTCTGTTTTACTTTAAAGATTAATTTATAAATTACTCCAAGTGTGTCTGAATGCAGAGCAAGTTTCTTAGCTTAAACGAGATTTTTGGCTTTAACTGAGCTTGTATTTAAACATGAAAGATTACTGAGCGCATGTTTCAACTAAATGCATGCATCTTATGCAAGTTAATCTAAAACCGAATAATTTCTTGTAATTTCCTAACGACGATAACGGATTATAGAATAGAGAACATTTTAAATCCTTTTCGCTAATACTTGCTTTTTAAGGGCGCTGCCTATCTATTTTGTTGATTCTCTTCTGCTTTGTTGATTCGAATCAGACCAAAAAAATTCAATGGCCTTGCTATTTTCTATTTAAACTTAGAAATAAATCACTTATCCGTAAGACGATTGAGCGACTTATCAAATGGAACCCACATTGAGTGATGTTTGCCTCTGAATTTGAAATCATTAGGTGAATATTTTTCTGCAAAACAAGATAAAAACTCCTGTGCCAATAAAAACTATAATCACAATTTATCATTTTTAAACAGATCATCCTGATAAGGCAGGGTAAATCAATAGAATTTCTGGAACCGTTGCAAAGAATATCATTTAGCTGGTGAATTGCATTGGTAGAAAAAAACATGCATCACAAGACATTTATGCTGGTCTACTGTCATTTTGAATTGAATAATGCAGAGCTAAATCTTCTCCCTCTGTTGCCGGTGTCCATAAACCTTAACCAAACCAGACGTTATTCAGTTGTCAGAGGGTATTGACCAACTTTATTTGAATCAATCCCATATTTTACCATGTTGCTTCGAGACTCTTTGGAGTTATAATTATGATATTTTCTATTTTCATTCGCTTCTAGAATTTCTTAACTTAAAATCTGTCTCTATCTTCATTTTTCTTTATGAAAAAAATAACCCAAGGCTTACGTATTTTTAGCAGAAGACTGGAAATAAATATTTTTAGTTTTCAATCCGTGATTTTGTTTAAATTGTAGAGAAAGTAATTTCAACGTACTGATTCAAATTTAAAATTTTTAATATACGTGGTGAAAGGTGCGTTATTTGGGCTTGCTATTTCACACGCAGAGAGAAAGTTCATTTTTGAAATGTACTCGTTTTAAGTATATATCAATAATATTAGTTATAAGTAATAATATTCAAGTTTCAGTAATATTAGTTACAATTTGTTGCTCCTGTTGTGATTGGTTTTGTTTTTACAGTCGGGATTTTGATTCTGCACGCAAATACTAGAAAATACAAGCTTGCAGTGAGTTCTCAAAATCACAATCCAGTTGTATTTAATGTCGATCAAGTAAAAATGTATAACCAAATCAGATTCGTATTCCTAATAAACACGTGAACTCATTGAGTGAATATGTCATTGCTGCCATACAATGATATTTCGATAAATTAACTAAAGTTTTTCATGCAAATCTATATTCCTTCGATACATAATACTTGTTTTAAAAAGGTATGGATGTATCTCAGGATGTAAAAAAAAAACTATTTTCGGAAAAAATCACATCCGTCGTCTTGAAATTTAGTGTAATATAGCTAATTAAAAGGATTGCCATTATTTTTTGGGTGCACAGCACATGTCGCTCGTAATTTAAAATATTTCGAACTCGGTTTCAACTCAGCGTGTAACTTTCCTCTCTTCTCAGCAAGTAAAGTTTGAACTCTAGAACTTTGCAGCTTGGCACACATTGGCAAGTTTTTTAAACTGTTTTTCTTGGAGATTTTCCTAAAGTTTGTCTGAAACAGACACTCCTTTTTCCTTAACTATGAGTTCAGCGAAATTAAATTGAAAATTCGAGCTTACAGATTACCGATAAAACTTGAGTGTCGGGGCATGAAGGAAAGCTCGCTCTCGCTACGCTAGCTGTCTCGCTATATCTGCACCCTGTAAAAACGGGCATTTTTAAAAGGGATATTCAGCAATTTTTCTTCTTCCTGGAATGACATTTTGTAGGCATCTGTACGCCGGTGAACCTACTTGATGTGTTACGATCTCTCTGCCTCCAGAGCCTGGTCGTTAGTTATGTCAATTAATGCAAAGTAAAGCTATTCAGCGAACTTGACTGAGGAGGCAGCGACGCTTCTTACAAGACCGATCAAGCCCACAAGCCCACATCGTGTGCTGAGGGTTCGAGTTCATCAGATTTGACCCAGCAAGTTGCTAAGAGGAACAACTTCAAAGTTGTTTCCAACGTTTAGAGGACTGCGAGAACGCTTTCAGACTTGCATTTTAACCTGCTAATCGTGCTGGCCTTGTGTCTTGATTCTTCAGATCAAATAACTATCGGCCATGGCTTCGCTCACAACCCTTAGTTTCTAAATTATCGTAAAAAATAAATGCAGCAATATCGATTCTCTATCGAGCAAAGAGCAACAATTTCTGTCTTTCGTTTGCCTTTCTGCCTGGCAACAGTCTTTTTGGTTCTCTCCATTCAGATGGCGTCCGCGTCCAAAGGTTTTAGTGGAAACGATGTCTTCTTGATATATAATAAAGTCAGTAAGACAGCTGGGAATAACTTATCTGCTAATTTATATCTTGTGTGCTATCGTTTTTGCATTTTCAAATTCAAAGTCCTCTTTCACAAATCTTTCTTCTTTTTTCGTCACTTATTATTTTCTCCAAAATGAAAAAAAAACTCTGCGTTGATATGTGACTTTTAATCCAAATTCATTATTCACTCACTTATTTATTTCCAATTATTTCTCGAAGAAACTATCTTTCAAAGTATTTGAAACGCTCAAAATGCCTCACATTGAGCTGACTCGATCGCATTATTAAGCGTGCAAGCCTCTCTTAAGAGCTTCCGAAGCGCTTCGATCACTGTTTCCGCAATACACGAGGCAATTTATCGCAGCGCTTCTCAATCGTTTTTCGTCTTGGCCGAAAGTACCGCCCACAACGGTGATCTGTCTGTCACATAAATCAAGTTTCTTACAAGCAACGATGAGACACTTCATTTTTCATGGCTTGGATATTACGGCTAAGAGTTTTGTAGGGATTTTCTGGAATTTTCGTTCTGTTCTGGCACTTTTTGCATTTCGGTTAAAACGCGGGAATCTTCTTAGGTTTAAACGATCTGCGTAGAGAAGGCTACCTTAATTGCATGGTAGTTGAGGGAACGGTTAAATGCTACCAGAATTTTTAATCATTGCAATACTTTTTTTCGAGTCTAATAAAGAGAGCGGAATATTTGTGGTCTTTAATATTCACGTTTCCATAGGTTATTGGGCGCAGAATTTATCCAGATGTCAATGGATTTCTTTAAGCGCATATTATTATTTTTTCAATAGTTCCTACAATATTTTACTTAATTTTGAGGATTCTCAATTTTTTTTACTCGCCAGATTTTTCTACTGATGGCGATCCGTGCTTGAAAATTCATTTTTCTGGGTTTCAATTATTGCATGCATGCATTTCCTCAGAAAGTAAGAAGACCTCGAGACCGTTGCATCAGCGTACAAATTCTGCTATTCAATGACACAACCAAATATTTTGGAAGTCTGGTAAATTTTTCTTGCAAAGAATTAGCTCGCATTCACGAATAAACCAAACAAACGACCAATTTTATCTAATCATCCTGACGAATTCGTGGATAAAATATTCGTTGGCGCGGCATTCGTGCCAACCTCGACACCAATTAGTGCATTTGTGCTGAATTGTCAGCGTAATTGTAAGTGAAATTGTAAATTTTTTACGAAGAAATGTATTATTAAATAAACGGTAAATTTCTCGGATAGGACACAAAAGATGGTTCTATTATTCTCTGCTTCTGAGGCTTTTAATGCAAAATAAAATGTTACCGGGAATTTTAAAGTAAATGTACCGGTGAAAGTCCGGAGTCTAGGCTTTTAGAGATGAAGCGGCTTTTATGGGATGCTGTTGTTGGCTTTTTAGTTAAAAGCGCCAGAAGTAAAAATTGCAGCCTGAGTGTGCTTGTCTAATGGCTTGCTCTCATAATTAGTGACAGCCTAAAATATTATGTAGGCCTCTACATAGCGTCATCTCATTTAGTGACAGCCGGTGAAACTCGTGCTGCGGCACTGGCGCGTGCGAAACTCCTAGTAATATTTGTGAACGGCTTGTCTAACGACTGTAATTAAAATAATGCGACAAAATTGGCCCCCATAAAATAATGAAGACTAACTCCATTATCTGGAGCATGACTATTTTCCGTGAACCTAATTGTGTGGAGGATATTTCCTTGCCACTTCGTGGCATCAACAATCTGCCAGCACGCGACTCGTGCACTTATTGTAGGAGTGATTAAAGTTTGTTCAAGTTTTGATATGGTTAAACTATGGAAATTTACAACTATGTGCTCGGGTAATCATCAGACCGTGAAGAATAAATCAATTACGACTGATTGCAAGCAAAAATCAGTCGTAATACTCGCTCTGGTGAAAGTACACACTCTTTGTTTCAAAGAAGTAATTTTTCGAAACGGGAAAAAAACATCAAGCTAATAATAAACAACATGTGTTTTCACTAATGTGTTTTTGTTTTGGTTTCATATCAAGTCTACATGATTATAAAGGTCTCACTGAAATTGCTAAACAAAATACGTATAGTTTACTTTATTAAATCAGTACCAGCAACGCCTATTGAAAAACTCATCTAACCAGAAAATTTGCCTACCCTCTGGCTGATTGGTTTTGCCAAAGTTTCTGCCTTGAATTTATCCTCAATAATCGAATAAATTATCGATTGCTGTAGCTTAAAAACACAAGCCTCGGGAATTTCCCTCATGGTACTTTCCTCTACCTTTCTTTGTTGTTCCACTTTGCGTGGCTTGCACAAAATAAGCGAGAGTTCCACGAAACAGAATTTCAATTTGTTGGATAGAAATGTTTCTTTTCACTTGTTATTATTGAATCTTCATTAGTGTAATATACATGATTTTTCTATGTTTTAGTGGACTTTTAAAATTTTGTATTCTCCGATCAACTCGAGTATTTATTCTCGTTTATCTATGCGACATCATCCGTGATTTTTTTTCTCAAAACTTCTTCACAAGCGATGCCACAGTTATCGATATTTTCATGAAGCCTTTGAAGTCTTAGGCGTCTTTAAATTCCCTCCCCAGGGTAAAATGCCTGCACTTGGGGTAAGATTATAGCTTGCCGAGCTCAACACTTCTCATAAACAATTACGCCTAAATCGAAGCGAGTCTTGCTGCTCTAGCTGGAGCTTATTTGAGGATGAACTTATTCAGAAATGATTTTCTCCGGTATGAAGGCCATTTGGGCTGAAAGCGCTGCAGTAATGAAAGCTTTTCCTGATTGACTAGTTTTGCAATTGCCAGTTGTTATCTTCCTGGTCAAAATTATGAGCTATTTTTGCTTTATAATTTTTTTTTGTTGTAAAAACGAAAAAGTCTGGATATAAAAACAATAACATTGCCGAATTCGCTTGTATTGATCGCATAAACAATCAATTAATTTAATGCTCAAGATGCTTACAGCAAAAAAATGGGTAAAATAATGATAATTTCAGTTGTTTACCTCAAATTTTTTGTCGTTTCCCTCATAAAATTGTGCTGACGTTACGTACTGCATAAAATCGTAGTTTTGAAATGCGATTAAATACCAGATGAAAAGTAACAATTTTAGCGGAATGCCACAAAATAAAAATAGCAAGATATTCTGGGAAGAGGTCAAGCTTAGCCTTAGCACCCTCATTCTAAGCCTTCCATGCCTAAGTAAGTCATAGCAAGGGTAAGCACTTAGGCAATAGATTGCGCCTGCGTAAGCCTACTTTGCCGAATTAAAGACTGAGTGAAGGTAGATGAGCGATAGCGGTGCGTAAATCTTCCTACACTCTCAGGATATCCAATGTTTCGCCTTGCCTATTCTTTAATCAAGAAAAATTTTCTTCTGCATTTGCGTATTTAAATTTTAACTTCATATTAGAGGCGGCAGTGACAAAGCTCCTGCTTTACCCGGGACGAGGTTTCAAACTGAAATTCGTGCAGTTCATTAAACTTAGAACAGATTGATACTCTGCAGGTTTAGTCTTCATTTAAACTGCAATGGTTGAAAATTATATTATAGACACAGCGTAATACTATTATGGTGTTAATATTATAATATTAAATCTTGGGTGAATTTTACCCCCAATTGAATTGATTGAATCTTTTAGCCTTATTTTCGCCGGTCATTCGCCGACTGTAAATGGCTTTTTTCGGGGCCTGATTGAATATCATGAAATACTAAATTCTAAATTCAAAATCTTGTTGCGATGACATTCCAGACATAATGATTTATAGCACGAAATATTCTTCCAAGTCTCAATTTCCGCGTGATTTGATCAATTTTCTATTCGATTAATTTAATAAAAAATTATAATCTCACATGTGATCTGTTACAATTGCGATTCGAACACGTATGTTACTACTAAATATCTCAAGTTAACTAAATTTCTTATAAGCGAATGAAAATACTTAAAGTCGAGAAAGTATAGCTGCTAAGCGTATTAGCACTTTAAACTCTCTTATTTAATCATTTCATCTTAACTCTAATTATGACACATCCCTTTAATCGCGCAACTCTGCTCCTATTATGTTATTACGCTTCACGTCTCCATGATTTGAACATTTTCCATCACACTATACCTCTGAAATTGAGCCAATGATTAGCACCTTTACCATGGTTCCGCTACTCTGTACTGTACTCGTAATTGTGCCTTTTGTGCCTTTAATCTGCAATGCTTACCTATTACTACTACTCCGGATTTCACCTAGCACAAAATTTGAATTCGCTGAACTCATACAATATTTTAAGGTGCAAAGATTTATTACGATGACGTTGTTCCCGTCATGAACTTCCTCTGTATTCAGAAACAAATGCTAAAAAAAACTTCAATTAATGTGGGCCTGTGAGCACCTCCCAATAATGGCTATTGCTCTACAATTTTGGACAGTAAAACGTCATTCATAGGCCCAATATTTCAAAATTTCGTCAGAAGTCAGACTTTTTTATGCATTTATTCACTAACGCAAATTACTAGACTATATTTCTATGCAATTAGGGCGAATAGTTGATTGTAATAAGTGATATTTTGGCCTCGATTAAAATTTTTATCGACCAATCCTTTAACAAATTTTACTCTAACAACATCGTTTGTGGTTTTTCCTTACTATAAAAATCTTTTATATCATGTCATGTTGCTGCATTAACAGAGTTCCAGTCTTTTGGGAGTCGTGATGTCAGTTCATCAGTGAATAAAACGACCATCACCACACAAAGCTTGTCGGATCCGTTAGAATATTAGGATGAATATCATTGTCTGCCATTGGTCAGCGATATTCCTGCTACGAAGTTTGGCATTAATCCCTCTCATGTTTCGGGAGCTTTAGAGACAAATTGAGAAGAGAAAAATATTCAGTTCAAAGAGACGTGATCCACACAAATGTTTACAGCTTTGATGAATTGAGACTTCAGAGCTCACTGATTTGTCAGAGGAAACAGATATTTTGTTTATCGACGCTTCAAAGTTGTCAGGTTTATAGTAGGGTTTTGAGACTGAAATTTGAATCAAAGGCAGTGTCGACAGTCAGAAATGCTTTCCATATTACAAAAACTTCTTCAGCAGTTTTTTTCCATATTCACAAGATTTCCATTTTACACAATCAAAAAAGAGCTGATTCCATCATTGTTTACTTGTTCTTTCTTAATTTGAAAATTCCATCCAACGTTACCTAACAATGTGAACACAATGATAATGTATGTAATATAATACGCATAATAAGAATATTTACATTTAATGATTACTGAAACGTTGTAAATATTCGTCACTAGTATTTGTCTTTTACAGCTATTGTTTTTCTTTCATGCATATTATTTGACGTTTAATTCGCTTTCTTGTGGTTTTACTCGATCTTTAAATGTTCCATTTTAACATATTTTAGTTGAATAATTTTAAATTAATACCTTTTCACCTTTATTTACTTTTTTTATCTCAAGAAAACAAATTCGTGCACGTGCGAGTGAAAAATTTATTTAATCCAAATTGCACTGAAATCGTCATGTGCTCTTTCTACAAATTTTTCTTTTCCCGGTGCTTTTTGATGGTGAAATTGCATCTAACTATCTAATTTTCTTGCATCAAGAACTTTTCAAATAACAACTAACAAGTTCCTAATTGTGAAAAATTCTCATTAAAAGTTGCCTCGATACTGCATAAGTACCTTTTTTAAGTTTCCTAAACCCCTAAAGTGTTATTCGATGTCTGGCCTGTTTTTTTCTGGATCTAAATCTCATCGGACGCGCCGGCACCTTTGGGCCCGGGGCGAAGCTCCCTCTCGTGGTTTTTTTTCAGCATTTTTTTGCGCTTTGGGTGGCTGAGAAACCTGAGCACGGTGCACAAATGATCGCGATCTCTGTTTTTCCTAGACGCTCGGGATCCTTGCTCGATTCACCCGTGTGAATTCGGGGCCATTTGCGTCCCGACTGGCGAAAATAACCGGCCAACGTGCCGGTGTCCGGACCACTGCGATGCCGAGCCTCCGGACCAAAAACAAGAGCTTTTTTGTGCCTCCGATGGCCAAGATTATGAGACGATGTGCCAGCTGAAGATCGCTTCGTGCCGCCAGCAGAAACAGCTGCTGGTCAAATACAAAGGCAGCTGTGGTGAGTATAACCTGTAATAATTCTTAGAGACATTTTACTTTTTTCTAGACAGTATTTTTTGTTTATACTTTTTATGAATGTAAAGGTTGCAGGTGAAGGCTTGGAATTTCTATGGTTTGGACTGATATTCGTGTTTAAATAATTTCAAACATATTATGCCATTCATTTTATATGTTTGATATTGAATTTTCAGCTGTGTTTCAAAAAATTTATTTATTATGGATAAAAATTAGAAAGGGCATATAAAAATACCTATGCAAATAAATATTTTGATGTGTATATTCGTTATTCCTTAATTTTTTCTGAAAAATTTCCAGTGAAGAAACTATTGCGCGATCTTTTTCTTCCGTTGCTTAAGTTATCCGTTGACTTCATAAAGTTCAAGAGAATTAAAATTCGAAATAATATAACACATTACATAGTTCAAGGCCCTCAAAGTATGATACTTTAATTTAATTTTTTAAACTCTCAATATTTTTCAATATACTTTTTAACCCTACGGGCTTCAGACGACATTTGCATTAACATGTCCATTTCAAGTCGTTCAGATGTGAGTGAATTTCAATATCTGCATCCTTTCCATGGCTTTAAGGCAATACTTGCATTATTCCTGACTAAAAATTCGTCAAAGTTTTGTCCCTGATCGTAGATACCAACGAAAAAAGATCGTCATAGTAGATGCATTTCAAAACACTTATTAGTAACACATCACAAAAGATCAATTAATACATGAAATAAGGCAATGTCCACCCTAAAAAAGCACGGCTCAAGGCTTACTCATTTTTTTGAGAATCTTCAGTCATATTTGACGTCTTGAGAATCTTCAGTCATATTTGACGTCTTGAGAATCTTCAGTCATATTTGACGTCTTGAGAATCTTCAGTCATATTTGACGTCGCGGGGCCAGGCGTTTCCGTTTCGTGGGAATAATAGCAGCCGCTGGAGGATGAATCGAACCTTCCTTAAGTGAAGTAACTCAGTAAATATTGTTCTTCCAAATCGACTCACTGAAAAAACATTAAACCTTAAATTCTTGTTATGGGATGATTTATTTGTAAATTGTATTCTGTCGTCTTTTTCACGCTCAAAAAATGTCTAAATTTTATAAATTTCATTTTGAAGCTTATTTATCAATGGCTCAAAACGGTTTCACTGGATAAATAACCGAGTAAAAATTAAATGTCCCACACAAATAGCCCCGTTTTCAACAAACTTTTACATTATTTTCCTTTTCTAACTTCACACATAATTGATGCCATTATGCAGCATTGTTGAGCTAAAGGCAAATTATGCAACAAACAATGATTATGTACGATTATATTTGAATAAAATAATTTTAATAGAGTCAGGAATGGCCATTCAATCTCGGAAATCAACATCGCGTCTGAGCCAAGCTTTGCGATCCTACTTTCCATTTCCATTTAGAATTACGCCAGAGGGCGTAGAACTTCCCCGACCTCCACTGCCAAGCTCAGAAGCGCTGACGCTTTATGAAGCATTACGCCCATGACGGTCTCTAAGCCGCCGAATTTATGTCCATGTCAAAAATGTCTTTCATAAGTAAAATTTATCAATGTTTTGGTTCGGATTCCCTTCATTGTTGTCAAAAAAAAGCTGTATATAAAATCTGGCATTACGCATCGTAATCTCTTGGAGCGTTTTATTTTTAGCTCATTACTCCTTTTTAAAGGTAGGTTAATTTTCTTAATATCATGAGGAATTTTCTTATAAATAACTGCAGCGTTAATTCAGTCATCTTCTTTCATTATAATTTGTAATTAAAATTAAGATGAAAACCATTTTAGACACCATAAGTAGAAAAACAAACAACTCTTAAAATTTTTTAAATATTACGTTGATTCGACAATTTCTTACAATTAAAAGTTCTGAAATATCATGAGAAGCATTTTAACCTAAAAATCATCTTTGTCGGTACCAATTCAAGACTATATAGATTCATATCCATCCACGAGAAGCAATTATTAATGCTTAAAGTTAAACATACCTGAAAATCATTTCCTCAAGTCGCTTTTGGTCGAGCATCACTACTTCTACTTCTATTCAAGTTTACCTTGATATTTACATTTAACAATAATTTTGAATGTGAGTAAACTTAGGTCCATACTGATCTCTGTAAATTCTATCCGAGCACAATTCTTTCAGAACAAACTCAATCTGAGCATTTTTATTCATTTTCGGCATATTCATGGAGGTTTTTGTAATGAAATATATTTTGTTTGCAATTTTTTACTTCTATCCACATATTTCACATGTTTTTATTTATAATAAAGTTCTTCTGACCATAATTTGCTGCAGACCCCTGCCGGTCTCTGAAGTGTCCGGCCTCGCAAGTTTGTCGCGTCGGCGCAGACCGGCGTCCTATCCGTGAGTCTCGGCTCCTACCCGTGAGTCTCGGCTCCTATCCGTGAGTCTCGGCTCCTACCCGTGAGTCTCGGCTCCTATTCGTGAGTCTCGGCTCTGTTGACTATATGAGTTTTTGACGACAGCTTAGGGCTTGAAGAATCAGTTGTTAATTACTTTTTAATTTGGTCCCATCATTTAATTTATCTCAATTATTTTAAGGATTATGCAAATTCCACGAAACCTGTAGTGAGAAATGTCCCGATAACTATTTCTGTAAATTTGACAAAACCCACAAAAAATGATTACAGAGGAGCGAATATATTACACTTTTAAGTAAATAAAATCATATGTTAGCTGCCACATAGTATTAGTGCTAGGCGCCCATACGACGCTGACTATCCTAGGCCGAATTTCCATTTCTCAGACCTGCCTGACGTCCAAGTGAAGAGCCTCGCATGAGCCTAATTCTATTTCGAGGTTGAAGGGTCATGACATATTCATTCTGTGTAATTAAGAGCGGGCTTTTGATTGATCAAGAGGAATATCCTGCATAGTTTAGTCACTCACCGTCAAAGAGAAAGATTAAGCATCATGTTACACCTCATTATTACTTATAACAGGTAACGTTTCTTAGTTCGCTAGAGCCTTTTTCTTAATGAATTCATTAAAGATCCTAACGTTTGGAACTTTTTTTCGGGTTGAATTATTTCATGTTAAAATGCTCTTCCGTAATTCTAGAATATGAATGATAATCTGGTGCATTCTTTTTTTATTATGAAAGGAATATTCATGAAGGTTATCTTTTCTTGCTTGTTTCCTCGCACATAAAATTATGATTTTGCGGTTATTACAGATATTTTCTTGTAGATGTTCAATAAGATTCTTCATAACCCACATCAGTAAACCAATATCAGTCGTTCCACAATCAAAACCGAATTCGAACAAACTCGAAGACAAGTGGACAAAATTGACTTGTACTATCCCTGCGAATGCCGTCTAAATCTCCCCGGAATCAGTGAAAGCCGAGATTTTATACTCAAACCTTCTACATATTTCTTTTTTGTGAAGACGGAGATTCAATTTGATATTTGAGTTCTGAGCCATATGGAAATATGGCATCGTCCCGCCTAGCGTAATTCTCTGGTAATAAAACGAACTTTAGCAGGCAGCGGGTCCCAGAAACTTCTAGGCAACGGTTTCCTCGAAACTACCAAGGGGCCTCCGGGCTTAGTAAATAGCCATGTTTTGCGGAGAAATTTATTGCAAAGAAATAAGCTGGACGTCACGATATGGCGACCTGGATGTGCACATATAATGTTTGCTGACTTTTGGCTTGGATGATCTTGTTTCCGTGAGAAGAGTATTAGGTTACCCGTACCAATCTTAGCGGTTTCTTTTTTCACTTTGAAGTCACATTAATTAGTGGATTCTATCTGCACTCTAACGTCTTTAATTCTCTCAAATGCGTATAATTTAAATGTTTTAAAGGAGCATCTCGGTCAAAAATCGGATATTTTCCGGTTTTTAGTATCATTTTAAAGGTCCAGAAATTGCGCATTTAAAGAGCTCAAAGCCATGTTTGTGCGTTCATTTGTTAGTTCATGACAGCCGTCGAAGCGAAAGTAAAACCTAAACTTTCAATGATCAAAAGGAGCATCTCGGTCAAAAATCGGATATTTTCCGGTTTTTAGTATCATTTTTAAGGTTCAGAAATTGCGCATTTAAAGAGCTCAAAGCTATTTTTGTGTGTTCATTTGTTCGTTCATGACAGCCGTCGAAGCGAAAGTAAAACCTAAACTTTCAATGATCACAAATTTCAATTTTTTGGCTCTCCTGAAAAAGTTTAAAATTTCAATCTATAAAACCAATCTCCTCCTGTGATTTTCAAGCTATAACATTAAGAGATATACCATTCGATTTAAAAAAAAATATCCAGAGAATAGTCGTAGCTTTTTTCATAATTTCGTTATATTTTGGATATTTTGCAAAAAGGGGGAGGGGCGGTGAAAATCGAAAAATCCCTCCCCCCCACCTACAAAAATATGAATTTTGAAAAAAATCTACGACGAATCGCTAGATATGGTCTTTACGCATCGAATGATATGTATCGCGATGTTGTAGCTTGAAAATCCTAAGAGGAGAAAATCCTTTTATTGAAAATCTTTCTTCTGCAATTTTCTATGAATTTCACATTTTCTTTCATTTATTCGAAAAATTTACATGAACAAAATGTTCATGAGAGAGAGTTCTGTTTTACACAGTGTATCAAGTTTCAAAGTGATCCGTCCCTAAATAAAAAAAGTTTTTTTTTACCGATACGCTCCCCCATCCAGTTTCACTGCGAATTGTGTAATCTCTCTATCGTATAGCGGGATGCTTCAGCCGCGTTTTCAGCAGCGCATTTATGAAATGAAGAGGAAATTAATCATTCTGTTTTCAAAATCAATCGCTTCACAGAACTCACTTCAGTTTTCACACAATCACTTCAGAAAAACAATATGATGCAGATTTAGCTGTGTATATTCAAGATTATAGAATAATTTTTTACAGCAATTATAATTCTACCTCTTGAAGTGTAAATCACATTCTTATTTTAAACACTCTAAAATTCATGGACATATATTGTCAATAACCACTGGATTGTCTACCTTAGGCAACCGTTAAGCATCCGTCAAATCAACCTCAAAATTATTGTACATGATTAACATGAATTATTTTATCTACGTATTTGATCCCATTTTCAGGAACGACTGCCTCATGAAAGTGGAGGGCTGTCGGAATCTCAGGAGTCTGGACATCGTGTATCGCGGAGCCTGCGACGTAGGTTAGTTTTGCTGATTGTTAGTTATGAAAAAAAATGTTTTCCATGAACCTATATGCGGGTTTACTCACATTTAATTATAATTAGCAAAATATGTTCAGAAAATTTCTTGATTACCATTAGAATTTGTGAATCTCCTCGCTTGTTATTTGTGAACGGTATGGGATTGCAGGTATCTCAGCTTCTTAGCGAGCGCTTATTCTTCATGTTAATTTGCTGGGTCTCTTTTGTTTATTAGTAGTCAACGCTATGAAGCTGTTTTTTGTTTAGTTCATTCCTTCCATTTCCTACCATTACCATTTAGCCTTTATGGATACCAATAAAATTTCCACTTCCTTTATTTTGTAAAACATGCTCTTCGTGGAAGAAAAAATATTAGTTACAAATTAATTATCTTACTCCGTTATATGTGGTTAAAGTTATCTCTATTATAAGGCACTCTCCTTGTGCAAAAGTTGTGCGTTGTAGATGTCAAGGGCCTATACTTTCAAAAAAGTTAAGAGATCGTAAGTTCATCAGCCAATCATTGACGGCCTTTCAAGCATAATCCACCAATCATAGACAAGAAAATTCTTCATGAAAAATATAACCCGAGGCTTATGTATTTTTAGCGGAAGACTGTAAATAAATATTTTTAGTTTTCAATCCGTGGTTTTGTTTAAATTGCAGAGAAACTAATTTCAGCGTACCGATTCAAATTTAAAATTTTCAATATGCGTGGTGATAAGCGCGTTATTTGGTCTTGCTATTACATACGTGGACAGAAAGTTCATCTATGAAATATACTTGTTACAAGTATATATCAGTAATATTAGTTGCAAGTAATAATAATCAAGTTTCAGTAGTATTAGTTACAATTTTATACTCCTTTTGGGATTTTTTTTTTTGTTCTTCCTGTCGGGATTTTGATTCTGCACGCTAATACTAGGGAATGCAAGCTTGCGGTGAGTTCTCAAAATAACAATCCAGTTGTATTTAATGGCGTACAAGTAAAAATGAAGAGCCAAATCAAACTTGTCTTCCTAGCTAATAAACACGTGAACAATATGTTATTGCTGCTTTTATGCAATGATATTTCGATAAATTAACTAAAGTTTTTATGCAAATTTAATACTTTTTTTGAAAGCGACATTCACGAGAGGACTGACTGCAAAGCTTGTCGCTTTATATACGTAACATTTAATCCTCGGCACAAACTTTGAACCTCAAACGTTTCGCAGCTCGTCTTCCATAACCCACTTTGTATGAGTATTATGCTTTGGTTCTACACACACACACACATGTTCTGTTTCAATCACTGCCGTGATCCTCTGGACAGAATCATGCGACACTTACTTCTGCCCGTGGTCAGCAGACTGTTTCATGCAAGAGTTTGAGAAGGGTTTACGCCACGTGTTATGCAGATGTCCAGAATACTGTTCCATCTTGCATAATCCTGGCCAACCAAAGCAGTGTGGTGATGATGGCATCACATACGACTCACAATGCCATCTGCGCCGTGCCATATGCCAACAGCAAACACAGATAACAGTCGTGTTCAACGGCTCTTGTGGTGAGTGGCCGGAGTCTTTCTGTCGCCTGTCACATCGCGTGCCCTGTTGTCGCATGGAGGGCTCTAGCGGTCACGATATCCGAGCACTTCATTCGAATTAAACCACGTTTTCTCGACTTTCTTATTGATTTCTTATTCACTTAAATTTCACTATGATTTGCTGCAACAATTTTATTCTTCACCGTTTCAAAAAAAAAACTATTGTGGAGTTATTTTCTTTAGCGTAAAATGTTATAAAAAAAGGACGTTCACATCACCGGTCTTGAATAACCAGATTTGAATGAATCATTTGTGTATTGAATCCTATTGCGATATATATGTACCTGTCTCTTATACACATCTTTTCAATTTTCTGATTCCTATNACCTACAAAAATATGAATTCTGAAAAAAAGCTATTACGAATCGTTAGATATGGTCTTTACGCATCGAATGATATGTATCTCGATGTTGTGGCTTGAAAATCCTAAGAGGAGAAAATCTTTTTATTGAAAATCTTTTTCCTGCAATTTTCTTCATTTTTTTCCTTTTCGAAAAATTTACATGAACAAAATAGTGTTAGAGCTCTGTTTTACACAGTCGTATCAAGTTTCAAAGTGATCCGTCCGTAAATAAAAAAGTTTTTTATACCGAGACGCTCCCCCATCCAGTTTCACAGCCAATTGTGTAATATCTCTATCGTATAGCGGGATGCTTCAGCCGCGTTTTCAGCAGCGCGTTTATGAAATGAAAAGGAAATTAATCATTCAGTTTTCAAAATCAATCACTTCACAGAACTCTCTTCAGTTTTCACACAATCACTTCAGAAAAACAATATGATGCAGATTTAGCTGTGTATATTCAAGATTATCGAATAATTTTATTACGGCAATTATAATTCTACCTCTTGAAGTGTAAATCGCATTCTTATTTTAAACACTCTAAAATTCATGGACATATATTGTCAATAACCACTGGATTGTCTACCTTAGGCAACCGTTAAGCATCCGTCAAATCAACCTCAAAATTATTGTACATGATTAACATGAATTATTTTATCTACGTATTTGATCCCATTTTCAGGAACGACTGCCTCATGAAAGTGGAGGGCTGTCGGAATCTCAGGAGTCTGGACATCGTGTATCGCGGAGCCTGCGACGTAGGTTAGTTTTGCTGATTGTTAGTTATGAAAAAAAATGTTTTCCATGAACCTATATGCGGGTTTACTCACATTTAATTATAATTAGCAAAATATGTTCAGAAAATTTCTTGATTACCATTAGAATTTGTGAATCTCCTCGCTTGTTATTTGTGAACGGTATGGGATTGCAGGTATCTCAGCTTCTTAGCGAGCGATTATTCTTCATGTTAATTTGCTGGGTTTCTTTAGTTTATTAGTAGTCAACGCTATGAAGCTGTTTTTTGTTTAGTTCATTCCTTCCATTTCCTACCATTACCATTTAGCCTTTATGGATACCAATAAAATTTCCACTTCCTTTATTTTGTAAAACATGCTCTTCGTGGAAGAAAAAAATATTAGTTACACATTAATTATCTTATTCCATTATATGTGGTTGAAGTTATCTCTATTATAAGTCACTCTCCTTGTGCAAAAGTTGTGCGTTGTAGATGTCAAGATCCTCAGATCGGTCTGCTCTAGTGCACGCACGCCGCGTTCACAATCGGACCCCAAACCCCAAGGGTAGTGCTTGCCTTCACTTACATTGCTCCTGTGAAATACCCTCCTCTCACGTCGTTCAACCCGGCATGTTATCCTCAATATCTGGAATTAAATCTTAAAGACTGAGCGCCAGCAACAAACACTTCATCTGCTTCATATGCTAGAATATTTCTATTTCGCGACGAGGCTTCTTGTTTAGTCAATGCTAAAGACCAAGAGTTGTAACGTCACTCAACTGGACATGCTCTTGCGTCAACGTTGCATTGAGATTAATGTTTTGGCACAGTAATAACCATACTATATTACATCAGTTTTGGTTAGTCATTACTGCTTGGCAGCGCAAAGAAACAGAATTTTTGAACCAAATAAATGTTTTAATTTCTTAGCCATCAGTTGCCGTATGATAGACCACGCAACATCTGAACCTACCGATCGGCCTAACAAAACGAAAAAAAAACATGTTAAAAGGCACGTTACACCACAACAAGGGGAGTCAACGTTGCCGTGATGGTAATATCAACGCTCTTGATCCTCGGAGACTCAGAGGCAAACAAAATCTCTGGCTCCGCTAGCGCGCTCGCTTGGCCGCGCTCTATTTCGTAAATGAAGATTGCGAGTCTATGGAATAATTTTCTAATATCTGTAAGACGAAAAATTATGATAGAAGGCGTCGCAAATATCTGTAATGAATGATTGAAGATATTTTTTTCCCAGGAAAGAAACTTTCGTTAAAAATTCGACTTTTTACGATACGTTTTTTACTGATTTTCTGTTCAAATTTCCCACAGCAAGTCTTCAAGCGGAAGCCATTAGTTAAATCCTTGTTTGTTCGGCCTTGCACTATCGCAACTTTCACTTAATGAGGTCGTGGAGCGCCTCGCGACCGGCTGATATAGCCATTAAAGGTACCTAACTTGCCTTAAGTAACCTGCTTGTCAATAATCTTTCGGTAATACTGGTAAGTTTAGCCATTATCCTGACGTACTCCAGGCCTGAACCCATGCGACGCCGTGTCGTGCCTAGCGGGGGAGGTTTGCAAGATCGACAGCTTCGGGCTGGCCCGATGCGAGTGCCCACCGCGCTGCGAGCCCGTCGTCATCCCGGTCTGTGGTTCGGACGGCGTCACTTACGACAGTCACTGCGAGCTCCGGAGGGCGGCGTGCATCAGGCAGCTCGACATCACGGTGCAGTTCGTGGGAGTTTGTGGTGAGCATCATACAAGAGGACTTCAATTTGATGGAAATTTTTATTTTGAAGGAGTTTCAAATATTTGAAGAGACTGGAGATTTTTTTGGGAATTTCCTCTATATTTGAAATAAATTTAAATTCAGTTATATTGAGTTTTCTGCCTATAATATTATTCACCTCTCAGATTCAATTGTGTTATGCATCTACTAGAGTATTTTCTGTTGTTTGTGGTCTCCGTCTAATAATATAATTAAACAGCTTTTAATTTTGGAAAATTTTAAAACCCATTAAAAATTAGTTCAAATAACTATTCCCATATGTACGCAAATTATTCTGCTAATCTTTGTCAATGATGTGATTGCAAAATAAGTGGCCAGCCAATTTCTTACCTTTTGACTTCTATAAGATTCTTAAAATAAAATATCAAAATCAAGTATTTTGTCCTTCCATACTCTTCTATATCGTTGACGAACTTCGGACCATCGTAGAAATTACAATAACTCTAGATCTCCCAAAAATTGAAACACAAAGTAATTAAAAATTCAAGACACTCATGAAATTTTTCGGGTTGCTTACGATTACTGCACGGTAGCTCTGCAAGATACGAGACAGCGGCTGGTATAACAACTTTATAAGTGAGCAGACATTAAATTGCACTCATTTCCGTGGTCATCAGCGAACATTCCCTGATATATCTCTCATCCCAGAGAACACAATTCAAGATGTGGGATAAGGGATACTCATGCTCACTAACTTTATGTTTTTTACGGCATCAGGACCTGTGAGCGCAGAGTTTGCTAACGACGATGTTGAAAGTTCCTAATATTATGATATAGATTATTTTTTATTTATGAGTAAATAAATAGTTTTTACACAACATTTTATTGAGTTCATGTACAGTTAATAAATGATCCATATTGCATATATTTATGCAAGTTTGATTGAAGACCAGAGAATGAGTTTCATTTTCTTACTTATGTTGATCCAAATCTCTATTTTAGCCGTTTCGTTATTTGATAATGAAAATTCATACATTTGAAACTATGTCAGTATATTAAAAATGTATCTCAATAATCTCATTTACGATATATCAACGATAAATTATCGTTCGATTTATTGCATGAGTTCTATTTACTGAAAAACAAGTTCATTCTAAAAACCCTTTCTCTGGTTTGTAATGAAATTGTATAAATAAATAAATTCTGTGATCCTAAACAGATATTACTTGGATATTTTCACGACTGTAATGTGCTGTCGATGTAAACTCCATCCCAAGTGCAGCTCCAAATAAATATAAAATCTAGTTATCTCTATCTGAACAAAGCCCAGAAAATCGAATAGTAACAAAATACCCTCTATGTCGGCCAGCGCTTGTTTGCTGATGCTGGTTTTCAAAATCTAAAAATCCGCCCTATTTTGAGAAATAATCTACTGTTTCCGGGAGCTCAGCGATAGCGAATCCTGTTACAATCTGACGATACTTTTATCGTGCCAAGTCCATCCCCGGCTCCGATTTTTGGGGAGGCCTGGGCCTGCTGCAAATCTCAGAATTCAATCAAAACAGTAAAAAGAGGCGTTTATTTAGGATTTCACAGCCTTTTAAAGCCCCAATCTCTCGCTCGTACCTCAATTGTTGCTGAAAAGTTCACTCGTGGCCGGCGCTGGTGTGTAGTGGGAGACCTTCCTTTTATATGGGCCGTCAAAGGCCTTAGAATTGATGCTTTCTGTCCACAAAATTCCCCAACAAAGACCTGTGACTCCACAATAAAAATGGCACTCCCTTTATTAGCTTCCTTCTAAGTTTGAAGGCAAGCTAATGAAAACGCCATCGCTGGGAGCTTTAAAGTCTTCTGGCGGCTTTTTTTTTTTTGAGGATAAGACTTCTCGGAAATTGGATTGGTAACAGTTTCTACCGATTAATGTAAATTTTCTCCTGATATGATTCGCAATGCTGCTTTATGCTCAGAAGATTGTAGATTCAAATTGGATGTTCATCAAAGAATTTTAGTCCAGTACTATTTTATTTTAGACTTAATCCTGAAAATGTAAATCAACTTAATGTACTTAATAAAAAACTGCGTAAATAAAAAATTTTAATTCATGATGTCGTTTCGTGCATTCAGAATTTTCGTGCTCCTGCGTGGTGCTAATATTTATTTTTTTTTTGTTCGAAACGGTTCATGGAAATGATGGAGCGATCTTCAATGTACGAATGTATTCGAGCAATCGCTCTGTGGTGAAAAACTAGCGGGAAAGTAATTATTCAATATCATGTCTACTTAATATTCTACAAATGAGGAGTCGAGGAGTGCACACAGTCTAGCTCACCCTATCGAAGCGTATGTTTTCTATTACTTTTATATCAATGACTCTTTTAAAAATTTCTCCTTATTGGAGATATACTGGGATATTGAGGAGAAGACGATATCGTATGTGCGTTGAATTAAGAACTCGCAGATGTACAACCTATACATTCAAATTGCTAATAATTATTATTTATAGTAGGTTGCAAGCGCCACTAGTCTGTGTTGTGTGTTACATGTAGCAGGTTAACCCGGCGTTGATAACCTGACGTTGCAAGTAAACTAAGCATTGGTCCAGATTGAAATTTTTTATGACGTGACAAATTCCTGTCAGCGTGAATTTATTTTTTATACACGCCCACGGGAGACATCTACAGAGCAGCTTTAAATATTTCTGTTATCTAATTTACAAGCCTCTTGCACACTCATAAACTTTCCCAAATCTGTACAAGTTTTGCACAAATTTACATTATTATTATTACATTATTCACATTTTTATTAGTACATTATTCACACAAATTAATAAATGTAATCTAACACGAAGTGATCCATATTAACGCAGGAGGTGGAGGCGCATGCTCAGGCCATCGATGTCAGCTGGGCGCCGTGTGCGTGGAGCGTCACGGGAAGCCCGTATGCGACTGTCCCCCGTGTCCGGGTCTGCTAGATCCCGTATGCGGGACGGACGGACTCTCCTACAACAACGAGTGTCTGCTGCGCTCAGAGGCGTGCGTCAGACACACAAACATCGGCATCCAGTACCGCGGACGATGTCGTGAGTTTACCGGATAAATGTTCGGCCATTTGTGAACACGGAGAGATAGGGAAGAATGAAAGGGGCTATACATATATCGCTAATCTTATTTTTTAAAGGCCTCCCACACTCACCATTCTAACAAAAAGGAATTAATTTTAATAATATCGCTAATTTCCTAGTCAATTAATATCGCTAATTTCCTAGTCAATTGTGTGTGATTACAGCAATAAATTGCTTTGTAAGCTTGCGGTTTTTATCGTAAACGCAAATATTGATGAATGAAGTGAGATCAGAAAGAGTGATTAGTTGCAATATGCCAAATTTTCCCGCTGAATTTCTGTGAATACATGAAAAATATTAGCCTCAATGGGCAAGTTTTGCCATCCGTACGTTTTTTATAAGCACAGTTACATTATGGTATGAAGAACTTAAAGCGAGTGTGCCCCATGGTCACATGACTAGTAAACAATAGCTTGCAAATACGGCTAGTATAAATGACCGAAATTATAAGATGGAAGCACCAAGCGAATGAAATGCCTATTTAAATTGAATCCTATTGTTCCATAATCATATCTTTTGAATGTCAATATCATTGCTCAGAATCCCACGTTACCGCATAAGTTTAATGTCATGCGGTCAGAGATGCATTTGGCATTCCAATTTAATATTAGAAGATAATTGCTTGTATAAATGATAAGAAAATAGATCATTCTGAGAACTGAAAGCATTTACCTTGTTTAACCTTTCAATATACGTAATCGACTACTTATCAGTGCATTATAAACTTTATACATCGTCAACTAATTTCGTAATTAGTTGACATCGTCATCTAATTATGCATATTGAGATAAACACGAGATTTAAATGTGCAATGATTAATGCGTGCAGAATCGAGAATTATCCAATATAAAATAATTTTATGAGAATTATCCAATATAAATAATAAATAAAGACTCTTCAAACCCAAAAATTTACTCATCCAAAAATTCCTTTTGTTATCACTCAAATACTTTACAAAAATGAGTAACAGAATCAAAACATTTTGATTAATTTTATGCGCGTGCCGAAAATTCCACTCAACTTTGTATACGCGCTATTTTGTGAATATTGTTCAACAATACATTGTATTAAAACAGTTAAGCGCATTACAAAAATGTTTTGTATAAAAACAATGAAGAGTATTACAACAATATTTACCTACTGGCAAGATCTTTTCAATTGACACTGACATGGCTGAGGTACTCAGGGTATCAGATTAGTTTTTTTCCGAACATCGATACAATTGCAATGCCCCGGTGCTCCTACAGGCGGCTGTGAAGAGAAACAGTGTCGCTTCTACGGCCTCTGTGAAGCCACTCCAGAAGGCCATGGCCGATGCATCTGTCCGACCGTCTGTACTGATGTGAGTCTTATGTGTAAATTCAATAATTTTATATTTATTGGATGTAGTTCATTAATTATATACTTCGAGTCTGCTTGCGTTTGAAGCCTGCATCGGAAATATATGGCGAATATACGATTGCTCGTGCCCGCAGTAACTATGGTGTAGCTGAAAACTTCTGAAAAATTATCAAGCTCTAGAGATTCCTTAAATATGAAATTTAGTGATAAAATATTGGTAAAGTTTCAAAACAGAAGGTAAACCATAGAAATGTACATTTAATCTTACTAAGTTGACTCTCAAAATTTATATATTAGATATTACAAATATATTATTGATATATGTAATATCTAATATCTATATATTGATGTAAATTCATTTTCTTCGAGAATGATAAAAAATTGAGTGGCAACGAATATTCGCACAACGAAATACTGCCGTCCGCATTTCGGTTTGTGCCACGATCTGTAACACTCATGTTGGTATCGAGCGCACGTCTGCAATATTGTACCTACATAATAAAGATATTGTTAAATTTATGAGCATGTGTGTCTATAAACAAGTTTTCGTGCAAGGCTACACGTTGAAACAACATGCCAAAATTTCTAAATCTTGATCTTGTATCTGGTATTGATAGGATCCTTAGGTTTCTCAATTAATTTACTCATCTTATGCAACTAAGCATCTTTATCCACCTTGTATACCCACTAAATTATCATTAATTTTCATCTCCCTCGAATTTTTATATCAATGTTAAATGAATGATCAGCTTGAATATTTAATTTTATTACTTTACATTTAATCTTACTAAGTTGACTCTCAAAATTTATATATTAGATATTACAAATATATTATTGATATATGTAATATCTAATATCTATATATTGATGTAAATTCATTTTCTTCGAGAATGATAAAAAATTGAGTGGCAACGAATATTCGCACAACGAAATACTGCCGTCCGCATTTCGGTTTGTGCCACGATCTGTAACACTCATGTTGGTATCGAGCGCACGTCTGCAATATTGTACCTACATAATAAAGATATTGTTAAATTTATGAGCATATTTGCCTACGAAACCAGCTTTCATGTAAGGCTACACGTTAAAACGAAATGCTAAAATTTCAACTCCTGATCTTGTACCCGATATTGACAGGATCTTCAGGTTTCTCAATTAATTTACTCATCTTATGCAACTAAGCATCTTTATCCACCTTGTATACCCACTAAATTATCATTAATTTTCATCTCCCTCGAATTTTTATATCAATGTTAAATGAATGATCAGCTTGAATATTTAATTTTATTACTTTATTTTATTATTATATTTTTTATTATTATTTAATTTATTTTTAGAACCGCTCCTCATATTTTGCGGGTTCATTTTCCTTTTGGTTTGCTAAAAATTTCCAAGTTTTTCTGGCCACGGCAGGTGGAGAGCCAGGTGTGCGGAACGGACGAGCGGACTTACCTGAACGAGTGTCACCTGAAGGTGCAGGCGTGCAGACTGCAGCAGGACATTGCTGTATCGTCGCGCGGCGACTGTGGTTCGTTTCATGATTACCGTCTCATTATACATTATCAACTGGTCAAAATTTTATAATTCCCTTCTGAAAAATGATCATTTACCAAAATATTTGCTTCAACTTTATTTTAGCGCAGAAAAAATTATTCTCACATGCCTGTACAGCCCGTGCCTCAACGAATTATGAAAAAAAAGAGTCATTTCTGTCTGAGAGTCTCCCATCAGTAAAATTTTTTCCTGTATTAAGAGCAACCCGAGTTATTTTTCTTAAGGCTTCCAGGTTTTTATATACTTTCCTTCTAACTCCGTGAACCCAAAAAACTCTTCTGAACGAGCCCCACTTTTCGGGACCACGACCAACAACTTTACTTTTCGGGACCATGACCAACAAATGAGTCTTATTTTTCGTGTTGCTTTATCAGACCTGTGCAAGCACGTGGAATGCAAGTACGGAGCCCATTGTGAGGCTGGCCAATGCCTGTGTCCAACATCGTGTCCAGACACAAAGGAACCCGTGTGCGCTACAAACGGCGTTACTTTCCTCAACGAATGCATGATGCAGAGGATGGCGTGCCAGATTGGACAACCTGCTCTCAGGGTGGCTTTCTTTGGCGAGTGCTCGGAAGCTCGGTCGTCCGGAGTCAGTGAGTTACACTAAAAGGAAAAATCTTTTGCTTCTTTCGTGGGTTTCTTGGTGGTTTCTTTGAGCGTTGTTTGTTGATTAATTTTTTTGTTAGCTTTACTTTGATGGGTGAGGCCTAGAACGTCAAACTATTAATCTAGCGACAACCTGTACAAAAATCCAGCAAAATAAAAGAACTCTAATCGATTTGCTACTTTTTAGTCTGAAAGCTACGCAGCGAACACCGACGGCTGCTTGCATTGAAAATTAAGACAAACATTCATGCAGGTCGTGATGGCCGAAAAAGTGAGTACACAAGAGGCCAGTATTTATGATCTCGTGATATTCAGAGCAATATATTTCGCTCGCAGCGGCCTTCGCGTTGTATATAAAAGTTTTTCCTGCGGTTATTAATGCAACGTCGTGAATAAGATTCATGAGCAGAGTGCCACGGTGTTAAAAGATATAATAGAGACGACACCAATAAACCAAAATGAAGGAACCTGGAAGGAAAGTTTTCTTCTTCTCGGGCAGCATTCTTTTTAAAGCACGCTTTTACGGACGCGATGCCAAGAACCGCTCCTGATATTTTGCGGGCTCATTTTTATTTTGGTTTACTAAAAATTCATACTATTTTTTGATTTAGTCAATGAGCGAAGATGGTGCAGAATTAGTTTTTTTAGCCACTAATTTTCTATCCAAAAATTCAAATTTATAATTTTTATAATTATACAAGTGAACGAAGACGATTCAAAATTAGGGTGTATCCATGCCCATGAAAATTGCCTGTTCATGTAATGCCAAGCAATTTGGCTTTTTCTGTGCTCGGACTCACTTTGCTGTCTGTCGAAGACGTTGGCACACTTTGGAAACGGGTACTGGAAATGGGTACTGGAAATGGGCACTGGAAATGGGTGCTGGAAGTGGGTGCCGGAAATGGGAACTGGAAATGGGTACTGGAAATGGGTACTAGAAATGGGTACTGGAAATGGGTGCTGGAAATGAGTGCTGGAAATGGGTGCTGAAAATGGGTACTGGAAATAAGCGCTGGAAATAGGTGCTGGAAATGGGTACTGGAAATGGGTGCTGGAAATAGGTGCTGGAAATGGGTGCTGGAAATGGGTGTTGGAAATGGGTGCTGAAAATAGGTACTGAAATGGGTACTGAATTTGAACAAACCACGTTTTACTTATTGGTAAGCAGCTAATTTTCAGACGAAATCTCATTCACTCAATCACAGAATCTAGCCAAGAAAAACAATTCTGTCTAAATTAACTTTCCTCAAGTTAAATTTGTAGTTCGTCATTCTTAATATATTAGTGTTTTCTGATATTACTACCAGGAATTGTTCTATATTTACTCACTGCAAATTAATTATTTCGCTCAATAATATGGAAAAATGAGACTAACGTTCAATACTTACAGAATAAACTCGTTGAATTTCAATTTGTGTCTATGTTCGGGGTCTATTAACATGTATCCTAATTTGACATCAACCAGGGCACTGATGTTAATATTAAGTTTATTATTAATATGGGCTGAAATTGCACGACAACACTACCGGTAAGTCTCGGTTCTATATTTCTTTTTATTCGTGTATCCCCTTATATTCAAACACGGGTGGTTAATGGCCAGAGAATTTGTTCATTTAAATTTTCAGGGTCGAGCAATAGTCTTCAGATGACGTTTGTTGATCAAAATGCATGTTTAAGGAAGTAATTTAAATTTATTAACGACGTATAGAAAATAGCAACATTAATTTGCAAGTAATATGAAGCATTTTATACAGAAATTTTGGTGGATATAAGTACATGACACACGTAAAAATAATACAAGAAGAAAATTTTGAACTGTGAAAAAAACTCCGAAACAATCTCAAAGCTTAGAAAAATCGGTAGTTGTAAAATGGATGCTGAAGTCCAATCCGTAGAAATGAGGGCTTCAGCTATCGTCGGTCGGATGATGTAGGGTATCTACATGATGACGATGCTGGTGGGTTCCTCCAGCACAGTGCAAGTGAGTCTGAATCTGACGCTGTCAAGAGTCTCACATATTGAATTCATCGCGGATTTTGAAATGAAGTTGCTCGATTGTAACAGTGCCCTCGCACCTATTGTAGTACTGTTGGTGCTCGTCTTCTGGCCAATAACCACCCGTGTTTAAACAAGCTTATTTTGTCATCTAATACTAACCACTAATAATTTATGTACGCATTTGATCTTGAGACGTATTTTTATCGGAATCTGGTTCCTCAAACACGTTAATTGGAAATTCCATATCCACTCTTGGCCTATCAGGTGCTATTAATAAAATGTTTTCTGTTTCGTATCTTTTTCAATGTCTTTCTCATGATTTCTCAAAACCTTGTCTATGTTTATTAATTCTGCAATGAAAATAGATAGTTTTCTTATAAAAATTCGCCCTTGTAAACCGTAAAAGATCATTACCTGCATTCAGGAATGCAAGAAGGTCGTGCCTACACCTACAACCTAGACGGCACAGCCTACCGCGTCAACGGAAGCAAAACCACTCTTGAAGGCACGATTCTCTTCAGTCCAGTTGAACTGCCACCCCTCATCCTGGACACTCCACCCACACCACCACCTGATCCCTGCATCCTGATGAACTGTGAATTTGGCTCCAAATGCGTTATTCTTGATGACGGCTTACCGAGATGCTCGTGTCCCCTCGACTGTACACAAGAAGAGTTCGTGTCCACGGATCCAGTGTGTGCCAGCGATCTAAAGATGTACTCCAACGAATGTGCCATGAACAGGGAGGCTTGTCAGCGCCAGGTTGAACTACGTCTGCGACCTTTAGAGCTCTGCGAAGGTACTGCGTTCGAGAACCTTATGCTCAGGAAAATGAATGAGTGTATTGTCCAAACAGTAGCACACTTACCTCCATCAGGAGCAAAGAAGGGACAGTGCACTAATACTTTATTTTGTCGGGCCGAACTGGATCTGGCTGACCCGCACTAAGGCAAAAAAGAGCCTCGCTATTTGGACAAATTCGCATTCATTTACCTGATTGTACGATTATATGCACATTATTTATGTGCCATATTTTGTGTCTAGTGTTGTCGTTTGTTCCAAAGCTTTCACTATCGTGCTTTTATTTAGCACTGAATCGCCATAATGAGTTCGTTTCATGATTTCAGCTATCAATATTATAAGTTGTCGTTATTTCATGTAGGCGCTGTTTTGTTCCATAGAATTTCCGTTTTTTGATTGTATTTTAGCTTTTTTCGTTTTATTCTTTTATTTACGCCGGATATTTTTAACAATGATTATTTAATATTTTTTTCCGTCGACTAAAGCAGATTTTGATGGTATTTTCACCTGTAATATTAACGATTTATTACGAATATTTTTTTTGTTAAGGCGATTTTTTATTTCAGTCTACGCAACTGGGAGAATTATTCGCATCAATAAATTACTCTCGCTCACTTACACTCATTTTTTCGGAGCTTAAAGCACATTGTTTTAAAATACACATTTATTTGTTTCAGTCTTTCATTTCGTTTTCTCATTTTTTTATCGATGTTTGTTTTCGAAAATTCTTCTACCTGATATCCTTGTATTATTTATTTTTGCATTCGTATGTTCAGTTTGCACCACTGTATTGATTTTGCATGCTGCCACTGCAATCGCATGACAATTTTGCTTCATTTGTTATTTATGGTTTATTATGAGGATGTAATTTTGTTGGTAATATTCGAGGGTAAGATTGGGGTAACCTATGATTTAAGCTGTTTATGGAAAGTGTGACGATAGGCTCCTTTTGCTAGCTACTAGGATGCATTAAAATAATTGTGTTAATGAGCATGTTTTTTATCTTTGTTTTTCTTATTTTGCACACTTCATTGATAATTAAGCAGTACTAGTCTCAATATTTGTTTCTTCTTCGTAACCAAAATCTTGATGCGTAATCATTTAGCATATCGACACCTTTACAACCATGCAATACTTCTTGTGTCGACTAATTTGTTTGTCAAATTTGTTACATATTTATAATAAATTCTTAGTCATATTGTTCCACATCAGGAGGACGCAAATATACTTCACTCACACACTTACAATACTTTACTCATTGTGTTATATGACATATCTCACGGAGCATTTATATGCTTTGATAATTCATAGCCCAAACTAAATCATGAATTAATTAAATTACTCGTCCATTCACGATTTTAGAGACCGTTATGTCGAAAAAAATAAAGAATTCCCTTCTCAACAAAATTTCAATTCACTTTGATCATACTAATGTGAACAGATCTTAATTATTCATGATAATTAGGTGACTGTGATATTATAGCGCTTGCTAGATGTCATTGTTCAAGTACATTAGTCAAGAAACTAGTAAAATGTGATAAATCTGAGTGGCGGATTGCCACGATAGGTATTTATTTTCATACAAATTGCTGTATTGAATTTATATCAATCACGTTGAATTTTTTCTGGCCTTTGCATAAACACTTAGCCCAAGTTTTGATAAACCTTTAAAATTATTATCAAATGTATTTTTTTTCGTTAGCTTGTAAATTTTACAGGACACGTCTTTATTCGTTAATTTACGTCGTTATTTGATTTCCAGTTTTGATGATGTTTTCATTTTTAGTTTCCTTGTTTTTCGATGTGTTTTCTTATTTTGTTCATCTTTCTAATGTTGCTCAATCTATTGTCGCGAACACATCTGGCTTGAGGAGGCGCTACTATGCACTGTGCACATTACATAAGCATTTCGTTTGTCTTATTTCAAGAACAATTCAACAATATTTCATTGAATTTTACCAAATTTCACTGAATTCTCCGTCAAAATCTTTAAAACTTTATTCATATATGATTTCAGTATAAAATTGTTTTAAATGACCATAAACTCACTTTACTCCAATTTATTTGGTATTTTAAATTGTGTTTCGACGTCTTTTTTGTACTGATCCATCACTTTTTTACTCCTGAGTACAATATGAGGTTTTCCTTTGAATATCTGTGAGATATCGAATATTCAAACGTAGACTTTTCTGTTTCTCCATAGTACTTTTCGAAAAAAATTATAACATATTTGTAATTCATTACCTGCGCAGACTACGAGTTGATACCGTGCAACAACGTCTCGCCTTTGGTGAACCCTGCGACGGGTCGCGATTTCTACTGCGGTGAAGGACCGGACAAAGAGGAGTGTCCAAAGGGGTCGTACTGCCACTGGTCTTTGTCTTTCGCCAAATGCTGTCCTCTCGAGAACAGTGAGTGTTCATTTGCAGGAACCGTGTCGGTGATGAGGGGTGCTAGAAAGGCGCCCGCTCTCTGCTCCGACAGCTCCCCAAATGATGATGGTCTTGCAAGAAATTAGCATAAATTTCGAGATTGAGTGCTAGTGGAAGGGAGACTGTGTAGGTCGTACGTATGGCAGGTGCCTGAGGGAAAGACCTCATCAAACCAATGAGGCTGCCCCTGAGACCAAACTATTCCATAGATGCGAATGGAGTCTTTCAAGACCCTGAAATTACCGAAACGTTTGTGGGAGCTGCTATTTATTTTACGCCTCGAGAAGTGCCCGTGCAAGGGCTTTTTCGGTGAGGTTTACGACCTTGAAATGAAGTTCGTCTTCATTACCGGGAAATCTTTGTGCAACCGGCTCGTATTTTCAACCCGAAGAAAAGTCGAATGTTATTGCACTCCCCCTTTATTGCTGGAGTTTTATTGTCGTCATATCTTAATATTATATTCGTGAATTACTTAGCAATATAGTTATTTCTTCATTTAAAGGTATATTAATAAGGGACTAATCCAAAATCTTAAAATTCTATGTTGATTTGGTATATAATTTGTGACAAAAAGTAAATCAATAATTTAGAACATTCACCCAGATTCAAGTAGGCATCTAATTGGAAGCATACCTGGAAGTATAATATATTGGCGTCCTATTACAACTTTCATGTTTTGTACTGTTCTTGGGCTCTTCAAATCCATAAACTATCTGGTACATATTTTTTCCATTGACTAATGAAGGTTTCCATATTACAAAAACTGGAAAACAATGGAGTACGGTCCTTTTCTGTGCGTCCGGTTCAAGTCTAAATTGCTGGATAAAATACGAGCGAAAAACAAGTATATGTTCGAATAACGCACAAATGGTTTAGAGCTTGAACCTATAGATTTAGGCTCCTGTCTTAGATGTTGCACCCTCTTCCACCAGCATTCGGATCCGAGGCTGTAGAAACACCAATAGTTCTAGTTTCCGTTAAAGTTGTAGTAATGAGTTATATATAGGCATAGGATTAAGTTGGTTCTAAGAATAAATATAGTTATTGATATCTTTATGGCAATAAACTTCAAGGAATAGGTGTAGTTATAGTTATTGTTACAACAATAAATTTAAAGTTATTGTTTTCGTTGTAGGCAATTGTATTGTGTTTTTTTGCGGATGAAAGGGTCTTTTATGATTACTGGAACAGCAGCACGCACCACTCGACCATGAACCCGGACATATAACAACCCACATGGCTCTCCTCCACGACCAAGGGCGTATGCCAGTCCCAGGGCAGGCCTCATGCTCGTAGTAGGTGACAGACGCCTGATGTCAGGACGGCAAACGTCGTATGACAGGACGACAGACGTCGTATGACAGGACGACAGACGTCGTATGACAGGACGACAGACGTCGGATGACAGGACGACAGACGTCGGATGACAGGACAACAGACGTCGGATGGCAGGACGACAGACGTCGTATGACAGGACGACAGACGTCGTATGACAGGACGACAGACGTCGGATGACAGGACGACAGACGTCGTACGTCGGATGACAGGACGACACACGTCGGATGATAGGACGACAAACGTCGGATGACAGGACGACACACGTCGGATGACAGGACGACAAACGTTGGATGACAGGACGGCAGACGTCGTATGACAGGACGACAGACGTTGGATGACAGGATAACAGACATTGGATGACAGGACGGCAGACGTCGGATGACAGGATAACAGACATTGGATGACAGGACGACAGACGTCGGATGACAGGACGACATACGTCAAGCAAAGTGATGCCAAGTCCGAGGCTCAAATGTGAACGGTTAAACTTGAATAAGAAGAGTAATATGTTTTAACATATGTGAACAGGTTGTTGGCTGGCAGAAAACGTAGAGAGACCATATGAATCGTCACGACTAAGCGCATGATCAAAGTATATCGTGCTGCTTCCATTAAGTGTCCTTTATATGCATAATAATTTACTTAGGTAACAATTTCAAGATTAAATGTAGTCGAATATGTTTACTTAAACTAAGGTTTCTAAATATTAGGAAGCGGGCAAAACCGTGACCGGTGAGCCGACTTCAGAGACACAAATGAAGACAGAGTGCGACCAGCAGAGGTTCCGTCTTATGAGCATAGGGTGCATCGTTTTAGACACCATATAAATATTTCTATCTTGGACATATTAGTGACATGGTTGATCTTTATTAATATCACTTTATGGAGCATGTTCTTATTATTAGGAATTAAGGAAGACCTCAATACGAATAACACTATCAGGAGCATGTTATCTTCATGGTTAATGAAGGTCTCCATACGGATCTCACTATCTCGACCTTGTTCTTCTTGTGGTTTATGGAGGTTTCCGTCGATGCGGATATCGCCTCATCCATTTCATGGGTTTACTTGGTTCAATTAATCCCCTATTCGCAGTCGCCGGAGGCTCGGACGTTCTCATTCATCCCTCTGATGACCGCTTGTTATTTCTTCCAGGGATCGAGTGCCACTATGAATGATGATGTGGTTTCTTGGACCGAGTTTCCTCAATCTCTAAAATGTTTATAATTATCTTTTGAACATGTGCATTAAGATATAAGGAATTGGTGGATAGTTTTAAGTAATAATAATGATTTTAAAAGGAAATGCCCGCAAATCTCACAATTTTGTTGATCAGTAATTCAAACGGAAACACTCGAAAATTCATGTAAAAAAAAATTTATTGAAAGTAATTTATTTTTGACTGGAGTCTCTGCAAAAATATTATAACTATACACGATTCTTGCAAATTGGCTCCAATTATGTACCTGGGAGATTTTATTCAATCGTTAGCTTCGAGACTCGCAAGAATTTGCCTAACCATCATTGAGAGTTAAATGCAGAATTATATTGACTTTCTTTCTCGTACCATAGTACTGAGTTTCTATCCAACGCTAAAATGATTTTATTTAACATAGAAATTTCAAAATTCCGTATTAATTTCCATTGACATTTCCTCGACAATTTATAGCAAGATAATTTTGTCGGTTTCCACGACAGACACAGCAACCGACTACCCTGAGGAGACCGGCTGCCGGGCCTCCAAGTTTCAGTGTTGCCCGGACGGAGTAACTGAGGCCCGGGGAGAGAACTTCGCTGGATGTCCGTCCATTTGTCAGTGCCACAAGGTGGGGTGCGGAAGCTTCAGCGCACAATGCAGAACAAATCGGGCTGTACTTTGGCTCCTAAGGGAGCGTGTGGGGCAGAGGGGTTACTTTTATTGTGGTGTTTGTTGCTCGTGAGCGATGGCATATCAGGGCATGAAGGATAGCGAGGATATTTCTAGCCGTATTCTGTGGGAGCAATTATGGAAATTTAAACGACAGTTATAAATCCCAAAAGTTACCTTTAACTGAAATATAAAACCTGTTATCACTGACGCATTTTTACCTTTTCAAAATGAAATGATCTGCTACTTTATTGCCTATTGGGATACTTCGAGGTACAAGAATAATGCGAATACTTCAGTTTCGACACATTGTGGGACGCCAAAAACGGCTGCTGCACATCGTAAATAATATATCAGTTCATGTTGAGTACATACTGAAACAAACTGCAACATTGTAAAATAAGGAATATATACCTATTATTTTTTAACCCTTTCAATCAACTTTACCAGCCAACTTTATAAATTAACCATCCATGTAGTAATCATCGTCAACAATTCGATTATCTCTGATGTTGCGATCACCACAGCAATTCTTTTCAAATGGCTGCCGCCAGCCACCCTATAGGCGGCCTTGCCGTCAACAGCGACAAATGGCCTAGGAGCTGCGAGAGTCGTTTTCGAGGGCCTAATGGTTCTGTGTTATGCAATTTAGCTTGAATGTTTTCGCGCCGAAGACAAATACGTCAAGTTCTAATTTCTGAACGGATGAATATTTGTGTTTTGTTTCATGATCTTAAATCTAGTTGTGTAAATATGACTAATTGAGCCTGTTATGAAAAATCCTGTTATAGAAGTTTGCTGATTATTGTTGTTCAGACCAAGTTTTCACCATTTCCGTTTAATAACTTTTGATATTTTCCTTGAAAATTCTATTGTCTCGCGTGCCTATGATGATCCTTTCCGTAGCTAGATCAAAACTTTTACGAAAAAAAATTGTTTTTTGACTAACTTTTTCAATTCCGAGCAACTTATCTTAATTATTTATAATCTATTATAATATAAACGATATCCACTCTTACAAACAGCGCACCAAATCAGTAGGTAACTGTGTGCATTAAACGCGGGCAACCCCGCTAGCTCTAACATCGCTTTGATTCACGTTTTTGAACAATTTTTATACCTGTGGACCATTGCATATGCAGTATAGTTGGTTAATTTCCGCGACAAAATTCCTTGCTGAGTTGTACAAAGAAGCTAAACTCTAATAAATTTTGTGCATAAATTTTCTGTCAATCTAATACCTGGACGATTTGATCTCCTGACAGCTTGGAGCTCACGAGGATACCTGCGATCCTGTGACCAATCAATGTCACTGCAAGCCTGGGGTCGGCGGCACCAAGTGTGACCGCTGCGAGCCTGGCTTCTGGGGTCTACCGTTGATACAGCGCGGCAGTGATGGATGCTTGCGTGAGTTTAGGCTTCACTATTAGGATGTGATGGTTCAGGGGGACCTGCCAGTCGAAGGAATATGGTATTGCGAGTTTGATGGTTCGGGAGGACCTGCCAGTCGAAGGAATAAAGTGGCGAGAGCGTGATGGTTCAGGGTGACCTGCCAGTCGAAGGAATATGGTATTGCGAGTTTGATGGTTCAGGGGGCCTGCCAGTCGAAGGAATGTGGTATTGAAAGTTTGATGGTTCAGGGTGACGTGCTAGTAGAAGGAATATGGCGTGATGGTTCAGGAGGACCTGCCAGTCGAAGGAATATGGTGTTGAGAGTTTGATGGTTCACGGGGACCTGCCAGTCGAAGGAATATGGTATTGAGAGCGCGATGGTTCAGGGTGACCTGTCAGTCGAAGGAATATAGCATTGAGAGAGTTTGATGGTTCAGGATGATGTGCCGATTTAGACTTGGAAGGTAGATGGTATTGCAGCCGCGATGGTTCGTGGTGATGAGCCAGTGTTGACATTGAGGGAAGCAAGGATCGGGGGTAATTGATGACGTGTTGCCATCGAGGGGGAAGACAATGGTGGTTGTGGCTTCTGGAACCGAAATAGGTTAGCCGTTTTATTATTCAGTAATTTGGTCTTTCTGTAAAACGTTTTACTAAATTTACCACCAGTATTCCCCCTAAAATATTTATATGACAAGGATAACACTCTGTCGTCGAGATTTCGAAGCCATCTAGGGCAAATTATGCCAGTGAAAAAAACTTAAAATTATATAAGGTTGGAGCTGTCTCGGCAATAACGCAACAAGAGTTATTCAAGCTTATTTTTAGTCATGCATTAATGAAGTCTAATGGCATTTTTTGATACCGTAAGCTCCATAATCAGCATGAAATTTCTGCAAGCCCGAAAATAAGTCAGTTGCGGGATATTATTCATACTCAATCCACGGGATCTCATCAATCACTTTAATGATTTGGCTTCTCCTTCTTCGTATGATAAATTGAGAGCTTAATTGCGCCTTTCATGCCGAGCTTCTTTTTATCGAGCGATCTTAGATCGTTAGCCGAAACATATGTATGCAGATTTTTTTTCATCTTTACTTTTTGGTTTTAACAGCATTGTAGGGAACACGAATAACGAACTTTCTTTCCCTGCTCTACCTTTGTTTTTATGGGCTATAAAAATTCTTTAGCTCGTCACACGTCCTAACGAGTCTGAAAATCTGAAAACTTTTCCTTTGTGTGATTTTGCTAAGAAATAAAAAACAAAATGTTTTGCAATGTAGTGTAAAAATTGATGCATTTACGCACACACGACGGGAAAGTTGGCTTTATTTACTTTTTTGATAATTTACAATGTCGTATAGTTCATTCATTACTGAAACTATTTTATCCTTGCTTTTCTGCAAGCCTTTCAACACGTTTAAAATATCGCATGAACTTCAGTACTCAATTTACTTGACAAAAGCCCATCTCAAGTATTCCCCATATACTAATTGGGCCGACCCAGCATATACAAGTATTCCTTCAACGCGCGGGAAGTTGGCTGAAAGTTTGTTCAATTACCATACACATATTCCCTGTTTAAAGTAATTTATCATGTTTTCTCTTACGCGATAACCATACACATATTCATCGTTCAAATTTGTGTCACATTTTATCGTACAAGAGATAACCATACACATATTCAGCTTTCAAATTTGTGTAACATTTTATCGCACAAGAGATAACCATCCACACATTCTGCTTGCAAGTGTATTTCCCACTTTATTACACCATCAATAAATACTGCATTTTTCATCGCAAAAGTTTTTGCTTGCTCACCAGCGTGCGGATGTTCGCTGTTCGGTTCCGTGCGCGACGACTGCGAACAGATGACCGGACAGTGCGTGTGCAAGCCAGGCATCGGCGGGAAGAAATGCAACATGTGCCCTGACGGACTTGTTCTTGGGCCCAAGGGATGTCAGCCAGGTACTCATTATATGTTATTTCAATAACTAACAGCATAATTTTAAATAATTTGATAATAATAAATAATTAATAATAAATTCATTTTAAAATAGCCAATTTTTATTTCCTCAGGCTGGTTAGTATTGTATATTGTCGTTTTAAAAACCCTCGGACAAAGCATACCATTACATATTATTAAATTTATTTTCGCGCTCAATTGCTTATGAAACTTTTGTCTTACGAGTACGACCAACTTGTTTCACCATTTTCACTACAATTGTGCACCAAAAGCCTGTTTTTCTAAATTGAATAGAAGCATTTATTTAGTCTATTACAAACGCATTGATAATATTTTTTCCAGAAAACACTCTCTTTCTCACGCATTTCCACCTGTCATTTCCACAGCAAGTGTCCACGCAACAACTGCCCCGAACAGCTGCGATGAGCTGCAGTGCTACTTCGGTGCCCACTGCCACCAGCAGCTGCCTGGAGGCCTCGTCGAATGCGTCTGTGACGCCCAGTGCCCCGCAGACTCGAGCAACGTCACGCCCGTCTGTGGCTCGGACGGCGAGACGTACGGCTCCGAGTGCCACCTCAAGCTCTTCGCCTGCCGCTACCAGAAAGACGTCGTCGCTCAGGGACTTGGACCTTGCAACCTGCCTGGTGAGTAGCGGTGTGCTGGACGTCGTTTTTAGCGCATTTTCTCATTTATGGAAAAAATGCACTATTGTGCTCGCCATATCCGTCCGTCCGTCCGTCCGTCAGTCCGTCCGTCCATCCGTCCGTCCGTGACTTCACGTTTTCGTCGACGAAAAAATGCGCTCTGTCACTCACTGCAGTGAGTACTGAGTTATATTTTTTTACCTTCGTATGCTTGCACTCTCGTGTTCCTGTAAATTCGGTTTCGGGATTTCTTTGTTTATGTCGATATTTTTTCTTCATATACTGTTTTGCCCTGTTCATATATACGACTCATTTGCACTTATATTCCAGTTTTTTATGTTTTCTTTGATAGAATTTTATTTATGTGGCTTTATATTCAATGTGTTTTTTTTTCAACAATGAAGAGTGGCTCATTTCAAATAATCTGTGTGCAATGTTTGCTCTCAAGCATGGGCCTAATGTTTTAGCTTTTTTAAATACCTTCGAGTCCAAATAAACGTTACCCTTATAATAAATGAACGAGAACAAAATGTACTAAAAACTTTATACCGCTAATATAACCCAAGCACATCCTCTACGTTAGTGGCTTAGAATTAATGAGTATCAACTCGTTAAGTTGATTAGTCTTTATTTTGAGTCAACCATATCATACTGTTAAATTTAACTGATGAGGCTATATGATCTTTTGGCTTTGATTGTTACATTAGATTTTAGCTCCTGCATGCTGCTGCATTTTCTCGGTATCACAGTGGCCTCAATCTAATCTCTGTAAGCAAACAATTTTCTGATTGATTCTCTAAGAGCATTTTCAATACTTGAGACAATGCACCAATAATCTATTCATTCGTTAATATTCCAACCATACTCATAAAAATGCACGCCAATTTCATTCGCTCCTATTGATACAATCAAATAGAATTTGATTATGAGGCTCGAATACTCGTTCCAACATCAAAGTCTTTATATTTTTTTCTTTTGCTTGGGCCCTCTTTCGTAGATATTCCTTCAGCAATCCGCACTGTTTCTTAGTTTTCAATGATCGCAGCTTCCGCACTCCGTTTACCCTGCACAGGCATTCACTTGCCACCTTGATAGCACTCAGTCATGCCATAGCCGTATACGGCAAATATAAAGTGGTCTTATCTACTGGTCTTCGCATCGTCAAAAGCTGACTTCAGCTCATCGAAGAAGAACTCCATATCGAATCTTCAAGAAGAATTTCACCCGTCCTGAATGCATTTAGACGGGCGTCTTCTGGGACATCGTGCAGCCGCGTCCAGTAACCGTTTCATGTCGTCGAAACGGCTTTGTTTACACACAACCATACATGATGTGTGTGGCATCCTCATCATATCAACCGTCAAAAATTATGACATCATCGTTGATGAAATATTGACCCTCTTTTTTGTGGAGCCCTTTTACGGACCAGCGAAAATCACAGCAGCAAATGCACTTCACAAACATCGATGCGTGATGGCAGACACTTGTTCACTGAATATTTGGAGACACTTGGAGAGCAGAGCAATATTTGGGTCTAAAATAAACAGAGTGCTTGCTGACAAGTAGAAACAAAATATCTAGTATTGAAGATTCAACGAAATTTCAGCCTTCATAAAGGAATAAAATTTGATATCTCGTTTCTGTTCATTCATCGTAATTGCTGATGAAAATATTCAGGACAGAGTATACAGTATATACAAGGAAACAATTTATTGAAAAAGATACGGTGACCTACTCCTATAAGAATATCCAGAGAGTCGGTCAAACTGCTTCTGTACACTATATATAAAGGTTGCCCTATGAAATCGTTGGAACACAAAAGATTATAAGCTGTACAAAGATTCGTTATTCAATCATGTTATTTATTTTAACATATTGAGGGAAGATGGCAATAGAATTTTATTTATTAATTTATTACTAATTTAATTCAGATCAGTCAAAAAATGCCATTTTCGATTTTCACCTCCGTTTCTTATGGTATTCTACGTCCAGATATACATACCCACTCTTTTCTAAAAAATTTACTCTTCATAATGATCTTTGCGTTTTATATTTAAATATCTTTTCTAATTTCGAGGATTGCAGACTTTAGTTCTATTGTCTCCGGGTGCATGAATTTCTTTCTGGTTTATTATTTCATCAGTAAAATATATTTTAAAGTTTGTCTATCTACATTCTAACACCAATTAAATCATTGAACTACCTCTTCCATACATTTTTTTAATTCATAAGATTTATTCATCAAGTTTAACAAAAGATTGTTCACGATCTTAAATTTTGATTACCGAATACAATAATTTTTTTCTGAAATAATTACAATTTTTCTTTTTCTTCAAAATGATGATCATATGCCCAGAAAATTCACCCTTCATTTTGAAATTTGATTTCAGTTACAAATTTTTTCAAGTCTCTTCCAAACAATATAGCACCGACCATAACTTAAATATTCGTTTACATTCTTACTTATACTTATACTTATACTTATCGTTTACTTATACTTATCGTTTACATTCTTACTTAATTCTCAGCCCATCTATACACTCACATTTAAAATTAAATCGTACACCTTGCTCAATCTTGAATAATAATGTAATTGCTTGGGTCACAATGGTAATAATCAATTTCATTGAATTGCGCATAAACAAACCTATTTGTAATGACACTTTTTTATTTGTACCATACTTGAGATTCAAGGCCATTCAAAACGAATGTCCAAATTTATATTTATTATTTAATTTGTATTTATTTTTCTCATGAATGATGAACTACACAATACTGAATTGAGGCTTCACTTAACCGCACTTATTTGGTTGGTTAAAAAACAGCAAGTATGAGCCTTTTCAATTCTACGTATTCGTTATTTTTTTTAGATTCGTGCTTTTTTGTCAATCAAATGATTTTATTTATATTTATTATGATGAATCGTCCAACTATCACCTGTCCCACGACATGTTTTCTATCCTATTGTTTTTTTATTTATTTCATATTCGTTTAACTTTATTTCTTGGCTTGATTAGAAAAGATTGATCATGTACATGGTGATAAAAAGGCCGCCGCTACTAACCGATCAGATGACGTGACCGAAAATCCCCTTCTTGGTCGCTCCACAGCGGCGCTATCGACCGAACCCCATCGGGAGGAAGCGGCCAAGTCGACACGCCACCTTCTTCCTCATCATATGAGACCTGCCGACGTGACCAGCGATACAACGAATCTTGAATCACTTCGAGAAAATGAAGCAAGCCCTGAGAACACAAGGCAGGCAGACAGCACAAGCCGCAGCGCGAACGTTCAACACCAGAAGAATTTTATGAATAAATCAGTGGACTTTGTTGTTAAACCAGGTATTTATACAAAGATTAACCATGATCTGTGGCCAAAAATTAGTCACGAAAGTACAGTTAGTTCCGATTGGACGGGAAGTGTGGCTAATCATAACTGGATGGACGACCGTAATGTTGCCAATGTGCACTCGGAAGACAGTCAAGATGCCTCCGACTTCCACTGGACGGACACCGAAGATACCGTGGATACGCAGTGGCAGGACGCGGAGACCAGTTTCCCTTGGACGAATACCGGTCTCAGCACTTCTAGCATGATGGCCACGGCGAGTTCCGAGAACAGCATTCTTCGTGCAACTCAAACTTCTTATTCGACGACGAAAAAGTTCGGCGCATCGTGCACAACGCACCTTGACTGCCCCCTGGCGCGATCCGAGTGCATCGAGGGCATTTGTTCCTGCCAAGAAGGCTCCTCCTGGAGTCAGGATTTACAGCTTTGTGAGGGTAAGTTCCTAAACCCCCTACCATTCACTCCCAGTAAATTTGTCCGTGTTTTGTGGTAGTTCTCTGCGTACCTTATTTTTAATAGCTTTCATAAGTGTGCACGCCTTATATTTATTTTATACCGCTAATTTTATTTATCTGAGGATGATAACTAGATAAGATGAACAGCAAAACAATGATACCACACCATTCATTGGAGACACTTCACCGTAAAATAATCTGATCGTGTCTAATAATTATTTTTTTTTTATTTTTTAGTTTGTGAAAACTTGTTGCACTCTGCACTAATAAAAATTGTGTGGATTTCTGCTTTTAGTTGACATATTACGGCTGTGGCATTTACCGGTATCTTTTGATGATGCTCGGCGTGTTTTCAGGCTCATCCACAAATATTTTAACACCTTTGTTGAAAATTTCTTCAATTTGCCTTTATTCAATATTCGCGGGCTCTTTTGTCTTCATTAAATCTTTAGGCAAATTCGAATTTCTCGCTGTAATTTTCCATCAATAATCAATTAGGATTTTAAGAGAATCTTCTAAATAATTATTATACATAAATTTTGTTCAAAACTAAATCAAACATCATCGTTTTGTGGATTGAACTCTACCTCAGTCTTGATGGAACTCTCCCTAAAATTCTGACTAGAGATAGACGGACATTTTCATATGTTATTTTCGAAACGGTGCTCAAACCATAGCTTGTATACTTCGAATTAAAAGAAGGAATTCAGATCTCTTAAATACAAGTAATTTTCTTTTTTTTTAGAGAAGAAATTTTTATATAAAGGGTTCATATCGCATTCCTGGAGAGGTATTATTCAAATAAGTATTTCAATAATTACCGCATTTATAGCAATGTCAAGCCCTAAATGCCAGTAAGTTTATGTTTTCAAGCCATTGAAATATTCTGATTATTTAAAGGGATTTAGGCGTATTTTTGCAGTAAAAATGTTATCAAATATTCATATTTTAATTTCTATATTGTTTGTGAAAGTCAGAATGCTGTTGAAAAGTTGAGTTGTTGTGCTACGCTCATGGAGGAAAGGCTGACTTTTTACTGTGGGCCTATTAAAAGAATACCGATTTTTGGGCCGCCTAATTTATTGTCTGGGTTTCCAAGGGCCTATTTTTCCTTGTTCTGTTTTCTTCGCGTGGCCGTGACAATAAAGAATGCTTCGTTGCCTTAAGTTAGGCTTCACAAATAGCAGGCAGGAGGTCTAAGTAACTCCTACAGTTTTTTAACTTTACTCGTAGAATTATCAAATCAATACATAATAAATTAATTTTTCCTTGTTATAACTGCAGAAATTATCCTCACTACTTTTAAGTAAAAGATTTTTCTAGGCAGTTATTTAAATTTCTACATTCAAATATTCATATTCCATATCGTGATCACAATTAGACTTTGCGATAAAGAGTGATTATTCACATTCTTGGATATGAATTTCGAAGAAGCGAATCATCATTATATTAATATTTTATTCCGTTAGCCTGATACTGAAGATTTGAAATATTTAAGTTTCTAGGAAGATTCTTCGAAATTTTATATGCGGAACAACGAAACTCGATCTGTTCCTTTCGTAAGCTCAAAGGCAATGAACTATAATTTCGAGTCGCTCTTTCATTAATCGAATTGGGACAAAGGAATACTTATCAGGGGGAAAACTAAATAAAAAAGCAATTTCAGGCTAGCATCGCAAAACAGATCTCGAAGCTCATTGGTCGAGGCACAACGTATCTTCGTGACAAGAACCTAGCAAGGTTCTATGATTAATCAAATTATGTTACCAGTGAACTGTCGTGATTAATAGTGAAACACTCAATTAAAGAAGTAAATTCATTCCCAATTCATTGGGGGTTCAGTTACCGAAAAAACGCTAGATTTCGTCAGGCAAATGGGATTTTCGTTAATAAAAGTACAAATTAAAGCAAGGAAACATTAGATTAAAAAACGTAACTGAAAAGATAAATTTTATTAATTTATCCAATTAATCATAGCCTAACACTAGAAATATTGTGTTTCCAAATTAACTAAAAATTAACCTAATGGATTTTCTACATTGGTCGTCGGGTAGTTGTCGAAATTATAAGTTGAAAAATTACGTCAGGAGGCCATTAAGTATTTTTCGCAATGTCATTTTCCGAAAGTTAATTCATGAAGCTGAAACTCTGAAGCAGCCTTGTTGCATTCAATTCCTGAAAATTCTATCCAAGCAACATCCGCTGGAAAATTTTCTGCAAGAAACTCTTATCTTTCGTTTTTCTTGGTGCCATCTTAAGCATACTCGCTGTCATTTCCTTCTAGCTGCCATTACCTTCAAGCAGACCACTGTCTTTGTGTCACGCAGAAAACGCCCCCGGTCACGAAGCTGCCACGGAGAACCCGTGTTCACGTTCCCCATGTCATGAAGGTGCCACTTGCGTGCCCCAACCGAAGGGGAGCTTCACCTGCGACTGCCCTCCCCATCGATCTGGTCCCCTTTGTGGGGAACACCACAGCGCCCCCTACCAGACCCCTTCCTTTCAAGGCAACTCATTCCTCGAGATCAAGAAGATCAAAGCGTACAATAAAGTTCAGGTGCTGATCATAACAATCCTGCATGCATCCTTGACGATAATTGGATAAAAATTGAGCTCAAAGGTGGAGCTCAAGAGACGGGCTGATTATTGTAATCAATTTACATATGTTGTAATTGCAGCTAGTTACAATAATTTTCCAATAGTTTAGAAGTTATTAGATTAATAAAAAATTATTTATTATTCGTCTAATGATTAAGCTCCGTCTCTTAGACTTTTTCATGAAACTTTAGCGAAATGAATTGAAAAACTCTGCGTGTTTTCACTGGTATCTCATTTATTATTCTAGTCGGTGGGTCTGTTAAAGTCACCTTTAATGGGCTCCAAGTGTTTCTAGTGTTTAAATAAAGATTATCTAACCAATTTAGCCTTAAGTATTAATTTTTATCGTGAGCGTCGAGACCATTTTTTGCTAATATAAGACGGCATGTGTCGCAATGTTCCAGATTGAGTTGGAGTTTCGGTCGTTCACGTCTAGCGGGCTGCTGTTGTACACGCAGCAGCAGGAGGACGGAGAGGGCGACTTCTTGTCACTTGCGGTGGTCGACGGTTTTGTCGAATTTCGATTCAATTTGGGGTCCGGGACTGCAATTATCAGGAGTCATCACAAAATCTCGTCTAAAAGATTTCACAGAGTGTGTGATTCTGTTTAAAGTTTAATATGAATATTAGCATTTGAATACAGTGAGAATTTTACCATACCAAATTTATGTGTACTAAATCAAGAATGAAAGTAATTTGTCGAATGAACAACAACGAGGCTTAAATTAGACAGTGTTTGATCTTATATGTAGTTGCAGAAATTGTGCTTTGTATAATATCAATTGTGTGAAAAATTACTATATATAAAATTTTTCTCGCATTAGGTGGTAGCAAAACGATACCAGAGAGATGGCGTGCTGCAGCTGGACGGTGCAGAAGACGTCTCGGGCAAAGCCCCCGGCCACCTCAAGTCGCTGGATCTCAGAGGCTCTACGTTCCTTGGATACGTTAAGGGGGACTCAAGCAAGTATGTTAATGTTCTAATATTTGCTTTAACTAATATTTGCACTAATGAACGGCAATAATTTTACCTTATTTCACAATTGTATTTTTTGTTCGTCTTTTTGTGTGTGTTTTTTTTTTTGAGCGAAGCATGGAACCTAAATAAGTGACTATTTGCAGGCGTATGCATGCTCATGTCTGGATATTACCAGGCTGTTGAACTTAATTCCTATTAGGAGAGTAGTAAGGCGAACCATATCTATAAGGAGAGGGTTAATCAAAAAATTTAGTAATTCTTATTCAGTAGGTGTACATTTTTTCCAAAAATAAATATCTCATCAGAATATCAAAATATACGGTGAACGAGAGTGCCATGCTGAGTGCGGGTTGCTTCTGATCTCTCTTTAATTTGAGTGCTTTATTTTCAAAATTATATCTAGAATTTAAATGAAATTCTGTATGACGATGTTCCGGAAAACGGGCTTAATAAATCGCATTAGGTGGTAGCAAAACGATACCAGAGAGATGGCGTGCTGCAGCTGGACGGTGCAGAAGACGTCTCGGGCAAAGCCCCCGGCCACCTCAAGTCGCTGGATCTCAGAGGCTCTACGTTCCTTGGATACGTTAAGGGGGACTCAAGCAAGTATGTTAATGTTCTAATATTTGCTTTAACTAATATTTGCACTAATGAACGGCAATAATTTTACCTTATTTCACAATTGTATTTTTTGTTCGTCTTTTTGTGTGTGTTTTTTTTTTTGAGCGAAGCATGGAACCTAAATAAGTGACTATTTGCAGGCGTATGCATGCTCATGTCTGGATATTACCAGGCTGTTGAACTTAATTCCTATTAGGAGAGTAGTAAGGCGAACCATATCTATAAGGAGAGGGTTAATCAAAAAATTTAGTAATTCTTATTCAGTAGGTGTACATTTTTTCCAAAAAATAAATATCTCATGAGAATATCAAAATATTCGGTGAATGATAGTACCGTGATGAGTGCGGGTTGCTTCCGATCTCTCTTTAATTTGAGTGCTTTATTTTCAAAATTATATCTAGAATTTAAATGAAATTCTGTATGACGATGTTCCGGAAAACGGGCTTAATAAATTTCAGCAACTACCTATTCGTCTCAGACGTTAAAAGTTAAGCTCAGGTTAGAAAATTTTAAATAATTCTTAAAATAAGGCCACACACACAAAATTTTTTCCTTTCTTGTCAATGCTGGAGTTCAGGAAAGAAAGTTTGTGTTCGCAATTTTGTATTTGATCCGTGTTGAAGTTCTGAAAAGTAAATGTCCTCTTTAAAATTCCTTATAATATGGGACAACTTGGGCACCCAATAAGGATTAGTCGTTTGCAATTTTGGCCTTGATGGATATTAGTAAGATAATAGTGAGGCTTTGTAAAGCTAATAGGGTGAGGGTCAATTTATTTTTCATTTAATGGTTTTAATTTCCCCATAAGTGTTGGAAATTAAATAACCTCTTCAACATTACTAAGAATAGGAAACAATGCGAGTACCAACGAAGGATTGATTGAATGTTTTTTTCCTAGATTTACATTGAAGTGTTGAAATTAAAATACCTCTTCAACATTCCTTATAAGTAGGGATAACGTGAGCACCAATGAAGAATTGATCACTTGTTATTTTGTCCGTGATAATATTAGGATAATATGTGCAGTATTATTATTTTGTCCGTGATATGTTAGGATAATAGTGATTTTGCAGTGCTTGAAAAGGGATATTTAATTTAAAAATTCTCCCATAAAAATGTTTTTTCATTTAGTGGTTTCAAATTCCCGAGAATTTAAGTATTGAAAACTACAGGCCTTCTTCAACATTCCCTAGAATATGGGATAACGTGGGCACCAACGAAGGATTGGTTGGCTGCATTCGCTCCCTCCGCATCAACGGTCGTCCCATAGACCTGATCTGGCCAGGGTCTAGTCAGATCATCCAAGGCTCGCTGGTATCAGACTGCGTCTCGAGTCCCTGTTACAGTTTGCCTTGTTTGAACAGAGGCTCCTGCCGACCAACGGATACCACGAGCTTCAAATGCCACTGCCGAGAAGGCTATCGAGGTAAATTGAGTCAAATTTGAGGGTCAGAAGACTTACATGAGCAAATACTTTCCAGGTTAATTGCTGATGACAAATTTGTTTTAGACAATCAAGATTGCAATGTTGATCTTGTAACGCAAAATGAATTGGAATTTTCTTAAATAATTTATAAAATTTCTAAAAACTCTCATTGCTAGTGGAAATAGTTTTTTGAGCTATTAAAATCATGATCAACGTAGCTTTCCTGATAATAGAAATCTATTCTTTGTTCACTGTTCAGATATTTGTCGATATTTATCAACACTTCGAGGCGCCTGCTTACTTATATTCCAGAACATTTTTGGTCAAAACAAATTCCTTCCGAAAGCTAGGACGAAACTTAAAAAATTCTTGCTTGAATAACAGCTCGAAAAGATTTCTAAGAGAGTGGTAGAGATTTTTTATAGACGAACAAACTTCAGATGTTACGCCAAAAGTTGCAAGCGACAAACTTATAAGTTATTCATTCCAGAGTCTCAAAGTCTGCCTTCTTTGGTTATCCCTCTTGTATGTCACGAACCGTTTTTCCTAAATATTTAATTCAGGTTTGATTTCATAAACACAAAACCTAGAAGATTTTGGCTACTTCTCTTATCAAATTAGGAGGTATATAAGGAATAACCTTCGGTCCTTCAAGTCAAAAACAAATAAGAAAGAAAGACACTTATTATTTTATTTGATAATTGATTTCATTGCAAGGCAAAAGCTTTAATTTACTATTATTCGTGTTGTGTTCACCACAGGAGATGTTTGCGAGGAACGAGAAGACCCTTGCGCTTCTCAGCCCTGCCACGGTGAAGCCACTTGCGTCCCTCTGCCAGACTCTGGTTTCAGGTGCCTGTGTCCACCTTCAAGATCAGGCGAATTTTGCGAAGTTGGTGAGTGAACTTTGAATAGAAAAAATAATGATACACAATTTATTGAGCCACTGAAATTATTTCCAGGAGACTTCTGGCAGGAATTCACTTTAGTTAAAATTAAAGTAATTTCCAATAAAAATTTCTATATTCTTTAAACGATGACGGTAGCATGCTCCATATTTAACGTTTGCAGTTTCCACTGAAATTTTCTTTCCGAAAATAACTCTAGCAGGCGTACCTCATGAAAGTAAACTCATTACTAGCGACTTTCAAGGAATAATTAACCTGCCTCAATAATGGCCGCTCGGCCCTGACAGTGGACAGGACGTTGCGTGAGGTTGTCATCCCGGAGTTCGAAGGAGATTCTTATCTGGAGCTGCCAACGCTCGACAACGTCGGGACGGCGTTCGCAATCGAAGTTTGGTTCTTGACGCGGTCCCCTGAAGGTTTGCTGCTATACAACGGACAGGGCAGCGGCTCCGGAGATTTTGTGTCCATCAACCTCAAGAAAGGACACGTTGAGTTCAAATATAACCTTGGCTCCGGAATATCCACATTAAGGTGGGTTATTAAATTAATTTTAACTTATTAGAACAAAATTATGTTTTATTTAGTCGGTAATGGTTTTTAACCAACCGTCAACAACCGTGATGTTATGAGAGATTTTTCCAATAAACTATTACATATTTGCAATATTATTAATAGGAATTCAAAATTGTTGTGAAATGAAAAAAAGTAATAAATTTTTAGTCGTTTATGATTACAACCAAAATAATATGCAGTGCCAATTTCGTTCATTGATCTGGTGGGAAATTCAAGTTTCCTCTTAAATTTCATCGCCATACTTTCATAGTCTCTTTATAATGCAAGATTCAAAGTATTTTGCTCGCCTACCCAAATTTGACACCTGCCACTCACGGTGGATGTTGCATCCTCTGCAGGAGTTCAGAAGCTGTAGAGCTGGACACGTGGCACGTGGTCCGCGTGCGCCGTAAAAAGAGAAGAGGAACGTTACGCCTCGACCGCGGCAAGCCCGTGAGAGGCAAGTCCGGCGCCAAGATGATACAACTTAACCTCGATCAGAAGCTTTATTTGGGAGGCTTAGTGTGAGTCTTAAGTAGAGATATATTAATTTGTTATACCGATTTTAATCCTTTTTTGTATTGTGATTACTGTCCAAAGACTGAATTTCATCCAATTTCAACGTCGACTTACAAGTTCGGGGCAGCAAGCGATGCATTGCTAAGCCTAACCAAGTCCCTAACTGATCAGATTGAATTAAATATCGTTAGAACAAACAGAAAGCCATTAAAGGTCCGGCCGACCATTCTGCTGATGTGATATTCTATTTGTATTACAGGCTATCGCTGCACCAACTTCTGTTCAGAACATCCCAGCTACGAGTTGCTTTTATTAAATACATTATGAATCCCGTCGGTTTCGCTAAATTATGCATTACCATTCTGCTCGCGCGCGAATAAAAAGTTTAGTGTTTGATGCCGCGTTCACGTGAGCCTGAAATGAAGTTTCACGGTTGAAAAGCATTGATGCTGGGAAAATTTATTCCGGAATATTTTAGATTCATTGGGCATTTGGGAATACAATTCATAGATTAGGTACGTATTACAAGTGGTCTGTTAGTGACTAATGAAATATTAGAAGCTTCATCGATGCGAAATTAAAGCTAAGTTGTATTTCAATGCGCTGGCGGAATTAACGCAAAAGCATAGAAATAAATCCTCGCATTTATGCGTGATTTCAGTTGCCAGAAGAGAACGGAACTGGTATCTCCTTTTGTCCCACGCAACAATCCATTTAACCAAATGAACTTTTTGAGTAAATCTAATGAGATGTAAAAAAATTCCCGAGAGAAAAAATATGTGTACGTAGTTTACGAATGTCTTCCCTCTCTGGAATTCTCACCAATTTATTGAAGCGAGTCACACTTAAATTATTTACATTCAAAAGCCATGTAGCTTTAAGTAGAATAAATTACGGGTCTCTGCTCTAAAGCTCGTAATTAATTGTGGACTGAGATGCGAGAAATTCTGTAAGTCCGATTTTTTCCTGCAAGTGAAAAATAAATAACAGAGAGTTATTTTTCATCGTTTCCACTAATTCTACCGACAATATTCGGCTTAGGCTAGCAGAACTTTCGAAGCACAAATGCATAGGCCAATTTGATTCTCATAAATAAAAAAACATTTTTACCATGCTTCTCGGCAACAATTTTAGGACATTTATTGAAACGTTCGTTTTCTGAAATAATTTCCCCCTTAAGAAACAATGGAAATATAAATAATTTCTTCCCAGCCCTTCTTGACTTGCTATTATTTGAAAGATACAGGCTATTTAGGTACATTATGTTTCTTAAGTGGCAGTTATAAATGGAGCTAAATATAAATAAAAACAGTAAATAAAGAATTTGAACATAAGAAAACAATTACTAGACATAAGAAGACACTGCTTTGGCAATGATAGGATATTGTGAGTGGATAGAAAGGTTGGGGTGAGGAGAGTGATTATCTCACTCCACAAGAATGAGCATCATGTCGTCTCGGAAGCTGGGTAACGTGCCCGCGGTCATGACGCATTAGTTCTTCGGTAACTGAAATTTTGTTCCTTAGCAGAGGCAAATTTTCATCGAAATTCTTCGTCGGTTACCGATCTTTTCGTTAACCGAGGCCTTCGCTAACCGAGATTCTACTGTATTTTTAAAATCATTGCACTGCATATCTTTGATCTTTAAAAAAGATGTCTAGAATCACTGTCTTACAAACATGCGAAAGATAGCCTGTTTTTTCACGCGTGCTTTACGACGATGGGACCAAATGTCTAATGAGTTATTGCCTCATTTTTTCAAATGATTGAAATGTTTCATCACTTGCGACGTAGACTATACACTCACATTAGCCAGTTTAGTTTATTACCCAAAATTTTATATCCTCGATTTGTGCTCTAAACCAAAACTGTGGCCTTATAGAAGCTCTTTAACAGTGTAGTTTATTATGTCATTTCAAGGTTGGTTCATGATAAGCAATTTCCTAAAATCCTCAGTATTCGAGTGCAGTTTTTATAGCTTTGTCTATTATGAAGAAATTAAGTGAATTCTTCTCATATGATAATCGAATTAGTATGGATCTTAAAATAACGATCTATTGCTATTAAAATATTTTTAATTATATAATTATATTTTTACATATAAATCGAAATTCAGTAGTATGAAATCTCTTGCGAGATTGCATCTAAAATGTTCACTCCTAATCCTTAACGTTACGATTCTTAAACGAAAGTGACAGCTGCAGTGGGCATAATGCTACATGAAACTGACGTGTTTAAAGCATTCAAATGAAGTACTCGCAGCGCTTGTCAAGATTCGACCCTGTTAGATTTATGCCTTCATCACGAGGCTGCCAAGTCGAGAAGGATAGCCTCATTTCCCCAGACAGTGGTGCTTGTGATGCCGCGCTGAATATGCTTTGTCTCGTAGGAATATTACAGTTACTCTGATACATTCAAACGCGCCTAGATCATCAGTTAAGCCATCACTTTTGTCTCGCAAATCTCGGTCTAAATCGTGCGGCAGTTCCCCTAAAAGTGGCGACAGTTAAGCCATAGAATTATTGAATGTAACACAAATGACGCATCTTTTACTGGAATTGCAGTATACGGACGAAACTATTACTAGATGTTCGTCGAGTTGTTTCACTCTCATGGCTCATGTTATTTAAAGGAATATTGTGGTAAAAGTTAATTTTATTCGTGACTGAATAAGACATTGACAGTAAAGTTATTGAATAATTTTTATTAATATATTTCACTGAAACTTCAATGCTTTTAGTTATAATTTTGTATTTTTACTTCCCCGAAATATTGTGGTGATAGAAACACAAATCTATCAGTAATACATTAGATATGGCCAAAAAATTCCTATCCAGTCGATTCAAAAGGTCTCTTCTTGTTGCGGTACATATGTTCAACCAAGTTTTCATGCAAGTATTCTACTCTAATACGAATACTTGAAAAATTGAATTATTTGTAAACTGACAAATTTACTGTCAAATTAAGCAGTTGATTTCATAGGAACTTTTAGGCCGCAGAGAAACTTTCCTGATCCTGGACATTTTTTGCGGTGTCAGTTGTCAAGAAGCTCCAAATACAAAGAATTAGTGGCTTCTTGCGCGTGTTTTTGTTGTACAGGAACTACTCGAGCGCCCATCCGGACTCCGGAGTGGCGCTTGGTCTGACGGGGGCGATACAGCGACTCGTCGTCAACAGGCAAGAGATGGATGACCTGCCGAAGCGAGCAACCGCCGGCAAAGGAGTAAAAAAGTGAGCCGCTATTTTTAAACAAAATTATTTTGAATATTTGATTCTCAAAGTCAAATATCAATATTTTGTTTCCAATAACCGATTAATTTCTGGTCTTGAACTCCTATTAAAACTTACTCTTTGCCTCATTTAATTTTTGTGACGGCTGAAGAGGCTGCAACCTAAACATCTGACGTGAACCTAACCTTTCCCTTGATATTTAATTTCATCCACCATTATAGATATTTTTATTGAAGCTCGGAGTTACATTAATCCTGCAATAATATTCTTTTTACAGGCCATAATGTGTGCTATTTTAACAAGCTTATTTGACTGCCACGAATCGGAGTCGAATCCGTGCGATAAATACATAATTGACATTGTCACAGTATGGATAAAAAAATATAACTCAGTACTCACTGCAGTGAGTGACAGCGAGCGCATTTTCTCGTCGACGAAAACTTGAGGTCACGGACGGACGGACAGACGGACGGACGGACAGACGGACATGGCGAGCACAATAGTGCATTTTTTCCATAAATGAGAAATGCGCTAAAAAGCATCAGCGATCGGAAGATATAAATTTTTTCGGGAAATTGGAATGAGCCTTGCTAATTGCGAGAAAATTTCGTGTATGTTTTTGAATACATTCATTATATTTTTATTGTTTTTCACCGATGTACATTGTTTTAACTGCTCTCTGGATATCCAGAAGGATTATTTCCTGAGAAACCAAGGCATTTCTTGAGGTCATTTCATCTGCAGATATAATAGCCCATGTGACTGAAACTACTTTAAGGAATTATCATCCTTAAAATCTTGAGTCGCCACTAATATCCAAATTAGATTTCTGTCCAAACGTCACTCGAAAAATTACGAGAAATATGGTTTAAACTGAGCACGAAAAGCAGAGGCTTAATCCAAACGCAGGCGGGGCAAAAGACTTCCTCGCATTGCAACGCATAAATTTGCATGTTTTTATCCTGAAGAAGACGGATGTGTCCTAAAACTAGATCCCTTATAACGGTGTCATCCTAACTCCTGCTCGTCCTTTCCCATGAGTCTGGTGGCTTATTACGCTGCTTGGGCAACCTGACAGTCGATGTCTACGACTCATCTTAGCCTTAGCGGACGGCCGATGTCTACGGCCCATCTTTGCTTTAGCGGACGGTCAATGTCTACGGCCCATCTTTAATTGCTTTAGCGGACAGCCGATATCTACAACTTATCTTTGCTTTAGCGGAGGGTAGATGCCTACGGCTTGTCTGCTTTACCGGGCAGTTGATGTCTGCAGTTTATCTTTGCTTCAGTAGGCGGTCGATGTCTACGGTTTATCCTTGTCTGATAATATACAGTAGGTAGCTTCATTTCATTAAACTATGTCAAGCTGAAATCCGATCTTTACCCTCACTATTTCTTAAAGTTTAACAGCATAGCCGCATGGTTCCAAATTTTCTGGCTCGTGATCGATTCCTGTGCTTCGAAGAAACCTAATTTTAGTCATTCCTTCAATACCTATACAATATTTCAATATTGATATCGCATATCATTAGCCAATAAATACAGAACTACTATCAACTTTGTTCAATGTTCAAAAACTTTCCCCCCAACCCATTTTCTCAGCTATTTGTCCATCATTCGTTCGACACATAAAAGTAATGAGTGAGTTTATTCCTTTGAGCAAAGTCATAGAGATTTATTTAATCTTGAGGAGACGAAGTTTGTATCCTGTGCAGGCTTGAGGAACAGGACAGCAGCGAGCAGCTTTAAGTTCGTAAATGTAAAGTCTATCACGGCGGGGCGGGCGCATTACCTAGATTACGTTGCGTGCTCCCGAAAGAGAAACTTTTATGCAAATCACATTCCCGCCAATGAGATCAGAATGGGTGCGTGGAACAGGAAAACCTAGTGACAAATGAAGCCACTTCGTTCCAAAACAACCACTTTTATTATTGCTAGAGCCGCAGCAATGTGGCATTAAAATTAGAAAATCACGCTCTGTACTATTGAGTTATTTTGCTGAAAATTTATAGCGGATGGGATGTGAATTAATGAATCAATTTTTTCAAAATATTCGAATAAATTTCTGAGCGTTACACCACGTCTCCCCAATGCTTCAACATAAATAGAAAGCTAATTGTATTATTTTATTCGTAGTTAAACTCTTACGTTAATTATTGTGGCTTATTTACATAAAAATATCGAAATCATCGCCAAAGTAAACGCGTCGTTCGTATCACACTCAACGTACGTCGAACATTCGAGTCACGCGCATGGAATCATCATGATGCAATAAGTTTCGTACATTCGTGTAGCACACTGATACATAATCAAGTAAGTTTACTTTTGTATTCGTGTAGCATGGCACTCGTGCATACTTGCATCGAGCATTTCTGTTTTTATTATTGACATTATTTTTGGTGCAGGTACCGTGGGCCTCCCTGTCTGCCCCAGCTGTGCCATAACGGAGGCGTTTGCCAGCCTTTCCTGAGCAGATTCGTTTGCAAGTGCCCCGTGGCTTTTGCCGGAGATTTCTGCGAGAAAAGTGAGTTTTGTGACTTGTATATCTCTGTATATTTGTGATCTAAATTTGTATTTGTATTGGTGAAGTAATCTCATGTAAATGTGGGTAGATAAATTGCTGAGGCAGACTTGCCTCGTAGGCGTTTTGCCAGTAAACCTTGTCAGGAAATTGTTGAGATTCGGTAACTATTCTTTTTCCAAGCCTCCTTTTCTAGTACGCGACTTTCGTCTGTAGCTTTACTCATAATAATTACGATGCAGATTTCTCGCGTGCCTTTTATAATTGTGTCATACTTTCTGTTATAATTACTAATTTATTAAGATAACTTCTCTTCCGAAGGAAAACAAGTTTATTTAATGCACATTGTTAAAGTTGCGCGAAATAAATTCCATTATGCTTAAGATTTATAGATGCGAGCAACGTTGTAGGGCAATGCGGCCAAATTCAAACTGGTTTTCTAGCTACCTTTTGAACTTAAGATCATAACTTAAAGAGCAAACTAATTTATAAAAGATATTAAATTAACGAATTTTATTTAAGACTTCATTTTATTTTCGTATTGATGAGAAAAAAATGTTTGACTGTATATTTCAAGAAAATTGCATATGTGATTTCTCCAATTTATTGATTACGCTATGCCCAATTGTATAGAAAACTTTTATTCAACCGTGGATAGTTTTGAACTTCAATTGACATGTTTACACCTACAGAAATAGGAGAAGTCAGCCAGTCGAAGCCTGTAAGCTTTGACGGCCAAACCTTCCTGCAATTCCGCGACGTAACCAAGACGATGTAAGTACGCTACATTTTAATTCCTTTTTAATTTAAGATAATGTGAGTCAAGAAACCAAAAGACTCCAATTAATTTCCGGCACCGCAGAATTTCAACATTGAAACTCAAGGAACATGCCTTCTGCTTTCGACGTAACGTTCCAGACAACGAATGATACGTGACATTCCAACCTTTTACTTTTCTGCTGTCGCATTTGTAAGGTTTATTTCAAAATTTAATATGATTTTTTACTTTTTTACCTAAATTGAGAAATTCATTGAGTATAGATGACAGATAGTTAGATGATGCAACGCAGAGACTGTGCTTAATTTCAATAACATCATGACATCGGAATGCATATAATTGTGCCTAGTAGTGAAAATCGAGGAAATATTAGTAAATTTCCGGCATAACGACAAATCCCCACAAATCGGCCTTCAAACGGTGAATTGTGCATCAAAAAATATAGTCGAATCCTGCCAGTTGAAAAATTAATGTTGGAACTCCAAAATGTGTAAAGCTTCACATCCGGATATGTAAAGGTATTTTAGCGGAATGTCTAAGTAGTCTGCAAGCACATTGTGATGGAAAATTATCATATCTTCTCAAATTGAGAAAATTTCGTGCGAAATGCAAAACAAGTAAATAAAATGGCCCAAAATAATGGTGATTTCATTCATTGAGTAAAATTGCAATTCAATAACGAGTCTTTGTTGCATATTTTAAAAAGGTTTTAAGAGAGAGAGTCTAAAGTGAGCACAGTTTTCAAGAGCTGTAAAGTTGCCGGCTGGTTGACCGTTTAAAGAAACGAGACAACCGTGGCACATGAAGCTCGAGAGCCCAACGCGCGGCAGCATTTGATGGCATAGAAGCACTGCTCTTACAGTAAATACTTCAAGTCAGTGATACATGCATACTTAAGTATGTATCACTGTCCTACATTCATACAAAACTACATACATTTACATTCATACGTGGATTGTAAGCGTTACATATACTTGCAGTTCAAGCTGCGATTAAACAATTTGTTCGGAAATTATGCAGTATGTTAGCACTAATGCTGCGATTAAATAATATGTTAGGAAAGAAATTAGTGTTGTTAGCACAATTTAAAAAAGAAGTCGCGAAGCAAGCCATCTAAAAACATTTGATAACTAAATATTTGTTTTGAGAGCAACTTTTTGTTCATTGATAACCCCGGATATATTTTTCTTATTCAAAGGTCGTCTTACAAACGCAATTTCCATTAGAACGCCGCACTCGTATAAAAAACTGTCCCAAACATATTGTTTAATCTTCAAATTTTTATTATATTTCATTCGAGAGTTTAAATTTACATTTCAGATTACTTTTCAACCATTCATTATGGAAGAAATAAACAGCTGTTTTCCATAATCAAAGTTGTGGGGGTTTGGCAGGGCTATTGCACAATCAACCTACCCAACGAACAATAACATTTCGAATTTGGAAATTGTTCACTATTATACGTATATAAAATGTCATTCTACTGTGAAATGTACTGTATTGCAAGCCTCTGTTGCCAAGAAAGAATAAGAGAACCTGGCACGAAACCATAGTGGCGTGGGAAACTCACTTTCATTTTGGCTTCATAAGAATGACTTCTATAAATTTTGATTCCTAATTCTCTTGGTGAAATTTGTTCGGAAATTATGCAGTATATTAGCACAATTTAAAAAAAAGTCTCGAAACAAGCCATCTAAAAACATTTGATAACTAAATATTTGTTTTGAGAGCAACTTTTTGTTCACCGATAATCGCAGATATATTTTTCTGACGCAAAGGTCGTCTTACAAACGCAGTTTCCATTGGAACGCCGCACACATAAAAAAAATTGCCCCCAAAGAATTTGCCTATTCTTTAAATTTTCATTAATATTCATTTGAGAGTTTAGCTCTAAATTTCAGATTACTTTTCTACCGTCATATTACGTTCATTATAGAATAAATACACAATTGTTTTTTATCATCACAGTGGTCGGGATTTGGCAGAACTATTTCATAGTTCTGCCAAACTAGTTGATTATTTCATAGTGCTCTGAGAACCATAACCGGTTGCCACAACACAACTGCCGAACAACATCTCCACTCCGAATGTCAAATGCTCACTGTTCAACAACATACGGACCTCCTCTCAGCCCAGTACCTTCTGCGGAGTCACCTCCCTCAACACGCCTGCCATCAAATCACAAAACCGCACCCCCAACCCTGCAACATAAGCGATACTCTTTTCACCAAATACATAAATGCCGTTCAACCTTCACTTCCAGCCACTATTAACAGTGCCACCCTCAAAGCAGCTAGCAGCCCTCTCCACTCCAACGCTGCCCGAGCTGCCATAGACTCGTACCACCCACCAGTTCTGCTCAACGGCTGGCCTCCTCCGCTCCCAACAATAGATAAATCTGAACAAACACTTCAAATATCCGCAAGACGAATGCTAGCACAGCTTCGCTCCGGCCATTGCATACTTCTGAACAGTTACGAAAACCAGAATTCATAACAACATCAATAACCTGTGCAACTACTGCCACCTCTCCCCGGATGATGTGCCCCTCCTCTTCAACTGCCCTAACAACCCAACTCCACTCAGCGCCACAGACCTTTGGAGGGACCCAGCTGCGGTCGTGCGTTGGCTCCAGCCACGGCTGGACCAGTGACGCCGGGATCGGGCGCGGTGCAACAACAACTATTTCATAGTCAACCTACCTAACGCACAATAACATTTCGAATTTGAAAATTGTTCACAATTCTAATTTTCAAAATGTCGTTTTACTTTAAATATACGGAATTGCCAGCCACTGTTGTCAAGAAGGAAAAAAATAACCAGGCACGAGACCATAGTGCGAAGGAGTGGAAAACCGCGTTTTCATTTTTCCTTCGTAAGAATTACTTCTATAAATTTTGATTCCTAATTCTCTTGGTGAGAATTGTGCTGCTAGATGGCCTTAATATGATCAAATCCTAAGATTTGGTATCCTTCGCGATCCTGTAGAATAAATTTATGTATTCTTATGATCCGAAAAAAGTTAACATAGATGACCAGGATCATCGTATCCACATGCGAGGAAATAACAAATGCACACTCAAAGGAATGAGTGAGACATTGTACAAATAGTCGAGAACCTTTATCCTTGTGTGAGTCAATCTGGCCCAGTTTAGCCCGACAAAAAGGTGTGTCAGTGCAACGGGCAAAAAGTTTGTCAATATTTGGACAATAAAACTCCTTAATTTTTCTCAATACATCATTGGCTTGTGACCTAAAATGACCAATATGAACAGAACCGTTGTGACTCTAAAAAAACTTGTAATGTATTTTAAAATGCGGTGGCACGGAACTTATTGCTGCCACGTCAGCATTTCGACCCTGGCACGCTTTGGACTCGGCGTTCCAAGACCGCGTCGTATATTGGCTACCCTGCTTTAGAGTTGGATTTGTTCAATCAAACAAATTCGCTTTTAAAAAAAGTATTTTATTTGCTGGGAAGGTGTAGGTTATTTTACGTAAAAAGGGTATCCGAGAAGCACAATTATTATAAATAAAAACTCCCGGTACAGAAAAATGTTGTTTCTGTACTTTATTAAATTTTCACTAATGAGAATTTTCGCTTGTGCATGAATCTTAACGCAAAAAGGTGAACTGATCATAAATAACATTCAATAACCTTAAATACGTATTAAATAAAACTTTTTTGAAAAATGTAAACCATTATCAACCGCAAACAAATCCCAAACATAAAGAAATTATGTTGATTGTTTCATACATTCTCGATCCTAAAACACAAATTCGTCTCAAATCCGCATTAGTTTTGCATAATCGCCCAAGGAGACTGATGTGAGCTTCAGATTAATTAAGGTGTCTCGCAATAAATAGCTACGATGCATCATCAGTTTCTGAGATCACCGCCAATTTCAATTAAATCGTCGCTCGTGTTGGAAATTCAGAAGCAATATTTTACGACCAGATTCATGGTCATCCATTGAGCATTATTGCCGAGCTGTAATCTCATCTAGCTCGCTGTCTGAGTTCAGTATGCACGCGTCAATTATTCAAATCGGTTTTCTTCGATGTAATTAGCTTCTGTGTCGTCCGAGGCAACGCGTTTATTAATAAAGCGACCTCAATATTAGGAGGTCGCTTTATTAATAAACAGGGTCTTTGTTGATAGTACCTGGTGTTTTTGTAACTGTGAGTAATGAGATGCGTTGGATTCGATGGATCGGGATAATTAAAAATAATCGTATCACGGGCCTGGAAATTCAATCAATAAATTTTTTTCTTGACAAATGCTAAGCTCTACCCTCGATTATCTAAGCGTTTTGCCGTATTGCACAAATGCTTAGGAAAATCCTTTTATTTTCTATTATAAGATAGAAATATACTAAATTAATTGAAGTTCTACTGTTCACGTGAAATCTGTGCTCAATATCTGTTTTCATAAATTTATGAACTCTAATGTCATTCTTGCTGGCAAAGTTCTTACCTTAAGAGCCTTATGTATCTTATTTCTCCGTGTTATTTTTCTTGCCCTAACTGATGGTCGGCATCGATAGTGAGGTGTAGCTCACGGTTATTGCCACTGCAAGCTTCGTTTGAATGTTCGAGGAACGCTAGCAAACTTGTGCTACCGTCTAGCTGGCTTTAGAGGCATGTCGTTAGAGCGCACATAAAATACAGGCTTTTGAGTACGGTGCCTCAAGAGGGCTCTTATTACGCTTCGAAAACTGCCGAACTTTTAAGTATTAGATTCGATATATACCAGGTAAGATTTGTGCGCAAACTGATCTCATAGAAACTTTGTGATTCAAGTTGTGGAATAAAGTATTGACTGACGAAATTTGTGACACAATGCCTAGAAAACATTCGGAAATAATTGTTATTAGTTGAAAATAAAAGAAGGCCCTACAAATAATTTGCGTTCCTCATAAAATTGTTACCTTTGAATTTAAAATATCCAAAAATTTATCATGTAATGCGTTTTTTGACGTTAAATGAAGTCAGATATTTGCAATACGACTGAACTTCAAACGAGCTGGAGGCAGGTAAGGCCTCCCACTAGTCTTTTGAGCGACATTTCTGACTGCTGGATCGTAGCCAACATGAGTTTTTAATCAACTCTAATGGTTCAAAGGATATCTCGAGCGTCAAAAAAACATTCTCTATTTTGAGATCCTTCTCGAAGAGTTACTTGCATTCTTTTTCCGTTCTAATTGAATAAATATCAGGACGTGTTGGTGTGTCTTGTTGAAGCCTCTCTCTGTAGCCTGGATACCATCATAGAATGTCGTCTGCTTTTTCGAGGAACACGTAGCGTCACAATAATTCATAATTCATGTTCTGCCCGCGCATCAGAAATTCCTTTAAATTCATTATTTCATTTTTTATAACATTTTACATGAATTTATACATCCGTTCTATTAAGTTTTTATTGAAATTTCAGAATAAAGTTTTCGATTATTTGGCAGACAATTTTCGTAGACCATGCATTTATTTTTCTTACATATGTTATACACTTTTCAAACGCTTTCTGTTTATTATTTATTCTATAGACATTCTCCACACATTCTATAGACATGTTCCGTGCATATCACTAAAGTCTTTTATGCATTTCCTTTTTTATAATACATTTTCCAGTAGGCCCCCCATAAACTTTCCGTACATACGTAGTCCAAATACTTCCAATACAAATGTCATATACCCAGATACAATTAAACTTATACCAACCAATTTCCATTCAATTTATTTTCCTTCTTGTTTTCCATTAATTTTATAAGGAATAGATCTCTCATTATCATTTATTCTATTCGAAGCCTAGCACAAGGAATAAATGCTGGTTATTCGAGCGCATATGTTTACAGAACATCGTATTGGAATGACATCGCTACTGAAATTATAGGTTTTGCCGATATTATCAAAGGCCATCTTAGGAATTTGACTTCGGTTGTAAAATTAAGGTTTCGCCCTTTTCCATTAATATGCGTTTATTAAATTCCGTTTAACCATATTTTCGCGAAAACAACTGTTCACTGAGACACATTAATTGAAATTTTGTCATTTACATAGAGACTTCATTTATATTTCAGGTGTTTCTTCGCGTGTCTCTCTTATTCTTCATACAATATTAGTTACGCCGAATTTTTAAATTTATCCATATGTGATAATATCATGCGCCTCGTTCTGCTCACCTTTGTGCACTATAAGGTTATTACAATAATGCAGCTGCGCACAAAGAGATCCTTTCAGGGGGAGACTGCCGGAAATAGACAAAATCGAAGTATATATTAATCGCAAAGGGGGGTTGCTTTAGTATATAATCTGGCGCACAGTTTTTACAGCTATGTAATTTCAGAGGGCGCCAGGATATATTGATTTACTGTTAAGACTTAGATTAGTACGAAATAGATAAATTGTTTATGGGATCTGCAGTCTATAGACGCGTGTCAAATTAAAGATATTGGTTTTTTCGCAAAATCCACTTGCTCTCTGTGGATTCTCCTGACCACTCTACAGTGGGTCATCCTGACCCATTAATTTATCTCTGAGTGTACGTTCTTAATGAATTTCGCGAAAACAACCGTTCATTGAGACACATTAATTGAAATTTTGTCATTTACATAGAGACTTCATTTATATTTCAGGTGTTTCTTCGCGTGTCTTTCTTATTCTTCATACAATATTAGTTGCGCCGAGTTTTTTAATTATCCATAGGAGATAATATCATGCGCCTCGTTCTGCTCACCGTTGTGCACTATAAGGTTATTACAATAATTCAGCTGCGTACAAAGAGATCCTTTCAGGGGGAGACTGCCGGAAATAGACAAAATCGAAGTATTAATCACAAAGGGGGTTGCTTTAGTATATACACTGGCGCACAGTTTTTCCATCTATGTAATTTCAGAGCGCGTCGGCAGGATCATCTTGATGTACTGCTAAGACTTAGATTAGTACGAACTAAATAAATTGTTTATGGGATTTGCAGTCTATTGACGTTTGTCAAATTAGTGAAATTTGCATTTTTGCAAAATCCACTTGCTCTCTGTGGATTCTCGTGACCACTCTACAGTGGGTCATCCTGACCCATTAATTTATCTCTGAGTGTACGTTCTTAACTAATAAAATATTTAAAAAATTGTGATCTTTACTTTTAAAACATTCAGATTATTGTTTAGCTTTAAATTAGTAATTATCGGCTGTATTTCATGACATTGCGGTCCACTTTTGGAAGACTGCAATTTGGATAGGGTGGGAGCTTTGGCCCCCCGGGCACCTCCGGAGTTTATAATAGCAGGTTCTTCAGTAAGTTCTATGAGGGTCTGCAGTTACTGTACATTTTCCGGGCGTTTGTGTATCAGCGCTGGGCGTTCAGTGAAGGTTTCGGTAGACCTCTGCTGACACGAAGCTCAGAATAATTCACTTAACTGATTGTGTTTTCGTTTCTCTTCCTCTTCGGTTATTCATAATTACTGCGGCTCATACATTCTTAAATCAAATCCTAGATTCAATAGATTCTAAGGTACGAAAACGATACCCTATATGTCCGTTTTTTGTTTTTTCAACTCTATTTATAATGTATTTTTAGCTATGGTTACAATCTATTTGAAGACATTTTTAATGGCCGTCTTAAAAATGTTTGACTCATACAGGAATGCAAGATGCTTACAGTTTTGGTCCTCTAGCATAAAATACGATCGAATAACGAGTGCCATTCTCGCTTTCTCTAAAATCGCGCACAAGATCTGGACGCTTGAAAACAGATTATTACAATAACATTTTATGTCTTTTTGCCTGAAAATAATTTATAATTTTAGCCTCTCTTTAACACGTGTATTCTCCGTACCTTCCTCTCATGCTTCCATCCGACGCAATTCCCATTGGACGACGTGGCCGCTCGACCGCTCACAATTCTCCGCGTTATCAATTGAACGGCAACGATCTCACTCCAATTCCCGACGGATGCCAAATCGGTGCCTGGGAACAGTTTGCAAAGCTTAATCTTCGGTAATGAGAGCATCGACTTGAATCAATGGAATTTACCTGTTCTCTGGTCTGATTTGAATTTGGACTACCCAACTGAATTGAAAAGTAGCGATGATCTTGATGAAATGGTTTTCTTGGACTTGGAGGATTACGACTCCGGTAATGGCTTCAATTTTGAGCTCTATGGTCCTGGTAATGAAGCCATATCCACACACGGAGAAGTACGGCATTCCAAGAATTTTATCCGTGGCAGGAATTCAACGGGAAATGAGGAGATACTCGCAGCGAAGAAAGGCAAACCGAGTGCTAATGATGTCTCAATATCTGTTCAAAAAATGGACGGAAAAAAACTATTGAAGATAAACCCAGATTTGCAAACAGTACGAGACCCAATGCTTTTAGATGCTCCTCGAAATTTATCCCTCCAAAGATTTTCAGCTATTGGATCGATGGATATAACAAATAGAATTTTACCACACCGAGCTCGAATTCATCACAGCCACAGGAAGCTGCGTCGACTGTTGGCTTCAGAAAATATTGCAGATGAGCTTATAGATTTAATCGAGATGTCCAATATCACGCGGCGTCGCACAAAGGAGGAACTTAAGCCCCAACCGCGCATCTCTGTTGATGAACCTAAGCCCCAAATTCCTCACACGACCAGCGCGAATAAGCCAGAACCACGTCACACAAATGAAACACCGAAGCTCCCACTCCTTCAGCAAAAAGATAGCCATAATAAAAATCAACTGCGCTACACGAATGAGACACCGGAAACAGAACTACATGACACAAAAACTACTCATAACTCGGAACAACCAAGCTCCGTCGGGAAACAAAAGCCGCAATTGCGTCACACAAAAGATACTCTCACCGCATCACAACGTCACACTACTTCTGCATCTGAGCCAAAAATGCGTCACGCGGAATACACTCCCAACGCTCAACGTTACACTATTAAGGCCCCTAAGTCACAATCGCGTCGCAAACAGGCGATTCACTACGGTGACCAACTGCAAAAAGACGACGACTCTCAAGAGCTCGTCATCGTCGACAGGCAGGAAGAAAAGGAGACGAGGTACGGCATTCGTCACACTTTGCTCAGTAAATGCACTGCTGCCGTATTGATTTATAGCTTTGATTCCATTTGTAGTTTTTCCCAGCGCCCAGCTTACCATTGTTGTTTATTTGCTCACGTCGCACCGATTTATGTACGCAATTTACCTGTATTTATTTTCTGTTGGTAGTTTGCTCATTGTTTTCTTGTTATTTTAATATGCAAGTTTGCTGTCTTCCTTGTTGGTGTGTATTTGATTAGATATACTTTTGCGGTTCAAGTTTTTTTCATTGTGTGGGTTTATTCAATTTCTTCACGCCTTTTTGCATCGTTTTTGCCTATATTAGCTGAATTCATATTTCTTATGACGAAGTAATAAAAATTGAAATACTGTGCTTTCATTATAATTATTTTAATTTCGCTACATTGAATAGAGACTCCATGAGAACATTGTAAGCTGTATTTATTTATAAATTTTCCCTGACAAATTCCTAACTTCAATTGCTTCACTTCCATGCGCCATTCATAGCGTCAATTCACCGTTTTTCATCAAATCCCAAACAAATAACCTCTTGAATATAACTTACTGCAATTTGGAGAAAAAGCATGTCACTTCTGAATAAGAAATTTAATTTCCTGAGCTTGGCGTCAATGAGATTATCTTTATAAAATCGAGGGCGATTTATAGGTGAACGACGAATCACCTGCGAATGGCCGGCACCAATTCGGCCGTAATTCCAAAGAGTGAAGAAAAGCAATCTGAGAATGAGTAGCTGACGGTATTCCTTCAAATCAGAGGCTATGAAACTTTTTCGTCTTAAGAGTCTCCACATCATATTCAACGTCATGTAATGAAGCTCTAATCCATTAGCGACTCGACAAAGTCATCTTACCACCAGGCAAATGATGTTAAAACATCGTTGACTATGACTCGATTTCATTTCTGCTGATTCAATCAACGTTGATTCATCACCAGAAAACTGGTTGGTTTCTCATAGCTGGGAGTTCATCTTCAGAAGGAGAGTTCATCACAATAATTCACTCGCACCAATTTTCCGGATCCGAGTTCTCCCCATGCGAAGGGGGTTAGAAATTAACCCTCTCCTATCGCATTCATATTGTATGAATAGCGTTCAAATTTAATGCGAAACTTCATACTCAAGTTTGCTTTATTTATTTTCGCATTTATACTGAGCTTCCCGAATCCTGTAGGAGAAATGAAATTACGTTTTTTCGACGTTGTGTATGTGATTGTTTTTTGAATGTTTGAGTGATGCATTTGATCTTTTTTTCATAGATTCTGCATTCACCTCAATTTTAGTTTCATTTTTTTAGTTTTCATTAGAAGTGTATGGTATCAGTATGTATCAGTACGTGACCGTGCAATTGTATAATTTTGTATTCATGTAACGTATGCTATAAAATTAAGTTTTTAAATCGGTTTTTCTAATATTACTTATCAATGTGAACGATTTATGTAATTTCTTCATTTAAAATTGTTAAAACGTTAGGTGTATAACCATCAGGCAGTCAGTTTAGCCCACATCATTTCATTTCATACTAATATGAAAAACATGTATTCCTGTGTCAATGCCAACTACTTTCTCACGGGTATTTGCTAACATCATATAGCATTTTTATCTGTACTCTCAGCCCGCAAGAGCATCTCACCACCAACCATTTCCAAGTTATTATCTATGCCCAATCGTTTTCTTAACTATACCCTATCATTTTCTTATAGTTTTCTTCACTATACCCTACTGTTTTCTTATCGTTCCCTCATCTACACCCTCAGGGCGCAAGAGTGTCACATTACCAACCAGTTCCAAGTTCTTACCTAAACCCTATTGTTTTCTTATCGTTTTCTTAAAAATATACCCTATCGTTTTCTTAACTATACCCTATCGTTTTCTAAACTATACCGTATCGCTTTCTTAACTATACCCTATCGTTTTCTTAACTATACCCTATTATTTCCTAATCGTTTCCTCATGTACACCCTCAGGGCGCAAGAGCGTCTCACCACCAACCACTTTCAAGTGAAGTTCCGTACCACCGCCACGCGCGGTCTGCTCGTCTGGAGCGGCCGTACGCTGGCGCGCGATCACCTCGCGCTCGCCCTCGCCGACGGCTTTCTCAACCTCAGCCTTAACCTTGGCGGCAGCAACACGCTACAAGTTCAGTCCCAGGTACATGTCGACCATTGCATTTATTTATAAAGTTATATTTATGAGAATTTCTTTAGAATGTAAATTGGAAAACAACAAAAAATCTTTGTTGTTTTTTTTTCAATAAGAAACAATCTTTTTCGGGTAGTAAAATCAGACGTACCGAATGAAAAAAAAAATCGAATAACAACAGCTGTGTGAAAAAAGTACAAATAAATCTATCCAGTAACGGCGTTGTAAAAAAGTTTAGTTCACTTTCGTTGTGATCCTTGCATTTAAATCCTCAATATGATTCTTTGCGTAAATATAAATTGAAAAAAAGTCAAGTCACAAATTCAAGTTGTGATACAACATAATTAGTCAAGCCCTATTGAAAATCTATTAGGTGGTCATCGTGTGGCGGGCAGTCATCCGTGATTAATTAAATTCCTGTTTCTGATGAAGGAATTCTAATCCTTTTCTTCAGTGGACATTCTTAGGCGTTTACAATGAAGTTATTAAAATGTTCGTGTAATATTGACGTAATTTTAATGATGATGATGCCTTTGAGAAGAGTTATTCTTTCATTTTCAATACGAAGCCCCAATGAGAATTTGGTCTCACTCCTCATCGGTTTCAATAGTAATTTCAGAGTAATTCCTGATGTCTCGTTAAAAGGCGAGGAAATACGATAATTCTTCCGAAACTTACTTTCGTTATATCTGTGCATCCTTACTTACTATCCATGCAACAGTATTGCAAGACGTGAAGTTTCACACTTGCAATCAATATTCCCATGATCACTTTGTTGCTTCAAAAAGCGCCTTATCTTCGTGGCATAAATCTTACAGTAAAATTGAGCGCGGTTCACATCAATGAATCGTCATTTTCCCCTTAATTTATTGAGCTTTTCAGGCGGAGGACCAGCTATCAAATTTTGAAATTGGCTTATAAATCTCTATTTTATTGGGCAAATTAGCGCCCATTCGGCCTTGCGTCTGTCATTCAGAATCTATCTTTAAATTAAGAAACGGATATTGCATAGCAGCCTGCTGCAGTAGAGAAATAACATTGCACGACTGTTGCGGAAAAATTCTGTTATTTTAGTTGAAAAAATAATCATATACGTTCGAACATTTATGAACCTCATGGCACTGAGAGAGTTCTACCCTATTTTCTTAATACCCTTAAACTATATCACATTTTTCGCAATGGCTTTCAGTTCTCAAGACTGTGGCGTCTGAGCCTTTGTGATCTCCTTAACAAGCACGTTAATATTGTAAAATGTATTTTTAACTTCCATCTTATATGTACATCAAACATCGACTTTGCTATTCGTATCTAATGTTCTAATTAATACAGTGTTTTTCAGTAGATAAAAACACACATTTTTGTAATGTAGCAATCACTAGTATTAGTGAATGTAATGCAATTAATGGCACGCGGGAAGATCTGCCTCTTAGGCAACGAGAAATCCTGACCATGAGTGAAATATTTCATGCCTAGTTTGAAAAAAAGTTACAAAAACTAAACGATATCTCGGATTCGTATTCGGAAAGTTAAATTCTTGATCGGCTCTGGAACGGTGATAATAAACTTAGTTCCAACATCAAATTGAATTTACCGCAAAAACTCGCCCATTTCTAGCACGAGATAAAAACATTTACGGTACCGCAACTTTCCAGAAAATTGAAATATTTCATCCGTCAATCATTCATTACGAGACGAACAATTCTATATTGGCCTCGAAGATCGAACAATTTTACTCACACGCACAAGGATATATCGTCCATTTAGTCCAAGCCCACATTCACCGCAGCTCTCGCCTTTGATGTTTACATGGACGCTGTATTTGGCGCGTCCGGGAATATCGCTTTTGTTCTAGGGCGAGATCGCGACGCTCGCGGTTTGCACGTGGGAGTCGAATCCCTTCATCGGAAATGCATCGATGCAGAGTCAAAATTTACCTTCCTTTTGCCTGTGTTCTTAGTTTTTAATCACTGAAACATGCGTGTATTTTCCCGCAGCGCATCAATACACGACCCGTATTATGCCAAAGCACAAAATTCCTTCCTTTGTCCTCGGTTGCTGCGAAATCCGTTTCGGATTTCATAAAGCAGCGTTCATCGATTTGACTCATGCTAACGTTTTTTTTATTATATGTTCTCGTGGTACATTTTCACTCTTGTTGTGTTGATAATGATTAGTTATGAACTGTTAAATCGAATCGTACGGCTAGTATTAATCTAGAAATTTGTTATTACATCACTTTTGTTAGCATAAAACATGAACTATAGCAGGTTATACGAGCACTCCATTTACTTATTCTTTCGAAAATATTTAATAGGAGAATTTATTGCAAAAATTAAATTCATATTTGAAGTTCAGGGAACTATACATGTATTCACATGTATTCAAGGTTATACCTGTTGTCATCGTCATGTAAATACGTGTCCATATTAGCAACACGACGGCAGCACTTAAATTCCAATGACGACAAATTGATAAGTTGGAATCCGCAAATGCGGGGTGAGCCGGAATCAGAAAATATTTTTTTTTCAGGAATTCACCGCTGACTTACAATGACGTACAAAGTCTGGCGGGAATTATCCATTTTCTGCGTTAGGGAATTCTGCGTTGGCCAATAGTTTGAAACGTTAAAATCAAATCTGTCTTCTTGGATGACATGTTTGGATTTTAAGTTGTATCTTGAAATCTCGGTAAACAATTTCAAAAGGTTAATTGAAATACTTTGTAAATAATTATGGCTTTAATCAACTATCAACAAATCAAAAGATTAGACTTCTTCATTTAATTAACATATCTTAGTCCGAAATTCATCTGGAGTACGAGCACGTACTCAAGGACTCACGAGCACGTTCATTTCTTGACTATATTCATGGGTTGAACAATTATATAATTTATTACTACTCCAGTTTTATAATACATATTCCCATTTGCAGTCGAGAATACTTGAGTGTACCTCACATAAATTAAATGTTAATCTTGTAGGGATCACAGGAAAATTTCAATTTCACGAATGTGTAGAGACATTTTTTTTAATTATGGTCTGCATGGCCTTTTTTTAACTTTTATTATAATTAATTTATTTTTATTTAATTACTTGTCTTTCTTTAACCCCTTTGACGCAAGCATGTTTCTGCTCCCCATTTTGATTACCATCAATTGATTTCTCCCTAATGCTATAAATAAATCAACTCGTTAAAAAAGATCTTTTATTCATTTGTAGTTGCTAATTATCTTGTTCGATGCTCTTTTCCACATCGCAGGAGCTAGTTTTGCTTTTTCTAGGAAGAGCTTCTATCACTTTTGCAAAGAAGAAGATATCGTTGATTGTATCGAGAAGATGAGGTTTTTAGAACATTAAAAGAGTTTATTTTGTTCGGTAAAAGCGTAGTTTTCAGTGACTGAAAAATCGAGGAAAGCGCCACCTTTGATAATGTGAAGACAGAAAATTATATTCTTCCATACCCTGGGCGAACCTAAAGGAAGTTATATGCATGATTTTAAGCCACTGCTTAATGTAAAGCATCCTAGAGAATTAAGTACTTCTGTAAATTCGTTGTATTTTAGTTAAAATTCAAGTGACGCAGCAAATTACTGAAAATGTAAATTAAACTAGTCCCCCGTAAGCAAAATTCATGGGAACAAAAAATACACAAAATTCACCGGAAATCTTCATGTCGCTTTGCCATATGGACAGAAAATGAGGTAATGACTACAAAACGCCCCCATGTCACCGGCGAGTCCTTCCGAAAAATTACCAAACGTTGCCGCCATTCTTAATGGCAGTCATGGCGGTCCATTAGGAGACAATGGCGCGCAATTTCGGCTGCACTGAAAATCTTGTGCTATTTTCGATGTTGTATTTGCGTTACACTTGCCTGCGCGACTTAATTTTTGCCTTAATTCAGTTTTTTACTTCGTCAAAAACTCCCATACATGAACACGAGCAGTTTTACTCCCAAATATACCGTTGGGAGGAAAATCCTGTAAATTGAGATTCCTCTTGCCACAATTTCTATTTATATTCTAATGCAACGCATTGAATAGGCTCCTAATCGGTGACACTGAGATATGCCGACAGCTATAACGACCCAAGAGCTCGACCGTCATCGCTATCAATCAGTGATTGACCGATATACTTTCTGAGAATTAATGTCTATTTATATGTATTATCTTTCCTAAATATTCAAGGGAGATCTTCATGTATGATGCGTTGGTGTTATGTCGAGTTCAACTCTTGCCATCACTCTAAAGTCAACTTCAATCGTCACCGCTGTCGTTGTCATATGAATTCGCAATTATGACAGGGGAAAATTAAGTTCTTCCTTTTGCTTCGATTTCATTTGGAAAATTGAATAGTGACGCAGTCATAAATTTTTAACTATCACTTGATAAAGTTTATTGTTGAGTTATTTTAAATATTTAACTGTATTTTCATGAAGTTTAGTAAATTAATGAAATTGGATGATTAGAATACTTTACCTATATTTCAAGTTGATGAAACAATAATAAGGTTCAAATTAAAATTATATTTCTTTCACTTTTGTAACTCCAAACTTTTTTAATTTAGCCTATCTTTGCGATTCTATTTCTTCTGTAATTGAAATCAAGTAACTTTAATTTCAGCCTCACAATATTTAAAAATGTAATATTTCTCCCTCTTATTATTTTATACATTTATTTTGGACAGGCTGGCAAAACTGCATTGTTCACAATTTCTTGGTTGTATTTTTGAGCGGTCGCTATCATAAATATCGCAATAAATATCCGAATGCACTCTAATAAATATGTATTACAACGAAGTTTAGGTTTCATCTTTGCAGACTCGTAGGTTTTGTTAGTTTTCAAAGCATTTTAATTGGGTTAAATGTTAGGTAATCCTCAAAAGCCATTCAACTCAATTAAGGAAACTGCTAAAGGAAACACTTGAAACTGCTGGAAATTGAAACTGACAATTAAGATGCACTACCATGTTATCTTGATTGTATTTTATATTATTTGTGTTGGTGGTGACCCATCAGGTAAACATGTCAGCCAGTAAGTGTATTAACCTTTAAGTAGCATAAAAATGAATGTATTTAATATGCTTGGTGTTGGTATCAGGTGGATGTATCAGACGGGGAGTGGCACAGTGCCGTGGTGCACCGGCGCCGGCGGTTGGCAGTGCTGAGAGTGGACAGCGAGTCGCCGGTACGCGGTGTGGCAGAGCGGGGCAGCGAAGAGCTAAACTCCGACGACACACTCTGGCTCGGTGCGTAACTCTTAAATGGCTTTTATAAACCAGTAAATTAATAAATCGATTCTGTAGTTAATTAATGAAATTAATAATTTATATTTATTTAAACCAATAATAATTTTTCAAGAATTAATAAATTCATAGTTCAATAATTTTTTAATTTTAATAATTGTCATTCAAACTGCAGTTTTCCTCGTGTCATCAAATATATAAATGTTCTAGATTTAATTTTAATGACAACTGTTATTATTATTGCATCACGTGAATTAAAAATTATGTCGTAGAGAATTGCGATTTTCAAATATTTACGACGTCGGAAATCTTCTAGTCTGTCCTTGTAAATGCGCTTTGCCTGGGTACAAAAACCCAGCAAAGGCCAAAGATCGGGAGAAAAAAAAAAAATCGTAAAATTATTATAGTACTTTGATTTATTTTGGAAAAATAAATTATTTATATGTTCCTAATTTTTTAATAGGAATCCAATTAAAATAACATTTTTTCATGAACCTGATCATTAATTACATCGACTTTGCAATGAATTCAAATATGATAAAGCTAACGTGGTTCTATTTTCACCTCAACGTCTCATCAAATTCGATAAAGAATCATTATTTTTTCATCGAATCCAGATAATTATTTGGCGTGTCTGAAAAATACTAGGTGCCGTAGATAGCAAAGAAATGCAGATTTAAGTAGTTCTTCATAACGGTTCGCTGCCGTCCACTCAACGCTAATAAAAGGAGCTGGGATTGCGCTATCACAAGAAGAGCCTTGCAATGCAACCTGCTCAGTGAAGCTCGGTCATATGCACGCGATGCTGTAGTTAATTTATGCTTACATGAGGCGGATTTTGTGCAGCTGTTATAAGTAATCGTGGCCATGTCTTGAATGCTGTACTTAATTTACGCTTACATGAGGCGGATTTTATGCAGCTCTTATAAGTAATCGTGGCCATGTCTTGAATGATGTACTTAAGTTATGCTTATATGAGGCGGATTTTGTGCAGCTGTTATGAGTAATCGTGGCCATGTCTTGAATGCTGTACTTAATTTTACGCTCACATGAGGTGGATTTTGTGCAGCTCTCACAAGTAATCGTGAACTTGTTTTTAAGGCTACTGTCAATCTACGCTTAAATTTACGCATTTCGTTCTCAGTTATTGTGAGTATTCGTTTCCATATAATGCTTTGTTAACCTACGCTTACACGAGGATGATTTTTTTCAACTTAATCAATTACTCGCGGTCTTGTCTTAGATAAAATTCATGCGGTTCGAAAAGGGCAATCATATTTCTTCACAATATCTTACCGCTATGCATACGGGAAAATATAGCTAAATTAAATAGTAAAACTGTAGTTATTTGAAAATAAACACTCATCCTAGGAGTCACAACATACTGTTAGGAAAACACGAATTTCATTTATTTCAGCGGTGCCTGCGAGTGTATCAATAATTTGGCTGCTCCAAATTATTGAATGAAACAAAGAAGGATGGCGACTGGTCGTTGAAAATATGTTACTGATAATACGGTTTCTATTTCCTGAAGGAACATGCCCTTCATCAATAATTAATGTTTCTGCAAGCAGAATTGTTTGTGTTTGTTTTGCTCCCGAGATGTGCATGTGATTAAGATCGCCTGCCATTCATGGGGAGAGGTCGCTTGATGATCCTCGTGTTTGATCAATTGACCTGATCTGAAAATAATACAAACTGTCTAATCAGCTGCATAATTTATTAGTTTGTGGTTGTTATAATAATTCGTTAATAAATCACAATTTCGATTGTCTTCAATTCCTATGAAATTATAGCAACATGTTAGTAGCTTTGCTGACTATTCACACCAACAATTCCAGTGCCAAGCGAGACTTTCTAACAGAATTTTCTGTCTTCATTCGCGCAGCTCAAGAGCTTTGGCTTTCTGGCAACAAAGCAGTTTTTTTAACCGCAATGTAGATTCAACCACTTGAACTCCCCCACACCGCTCCAACTTTCCTGAATATTCAACGTCCATCATTGGTCATATTTTTTGTTCATGTTGTAATACCAGAGAAAGGTTCAGTGAAGCGGCAGCCAAAAACTGGTCATAGCAAATACGACCGAAACGTTTATCTAACAGGCACTAGTTTAGAAAAAGTTTGTTACATCAGACCAGACGCATTGGCAAACGTTAAGCAGGGCTGACTTGCAGATGCGTGCAAGCAAAGGAACAAGAGCGAAATTTTTAGTGAATTGTTTCTATGTTTGTACGAGCTTAGTTAGAACTTCTCTTAGCAGCTAGATACATCAAAGCTATGTTTCCGTTGAAAACTTATACATTATTTTACCCGATACACACAGTCTCTAAATTCGCAATTAATTTTCGTTGGCAATTCTCACGAGGTTGTTATTCTGGAGACTTGCTAAACTTTAATATACAAAATACTCTTGATCAGATGATGATATAAGCTTAGGATGACTTAATCAGTTAGGATGTTTTCTATCTCCTTTACATTCATCATAATTTTATGGTAAAAAGTTAAAACTTATAGAGGCACTATTAGAAGTTGTCCCGCTATTCAATATTATGCAAGGTTAAAATAAAAATATCAGATTTAGATAGATTAAAATTCAAATCACTGTAAATGTAAATATATATATTCCTCTTTAACCCAAGGTTTTTTCGGAATTTCCATTGCAAACAGCAGAATAAAAATATAGTCCTGAAAATCCTCCGACGAAATACCACTCTGTCGCATATCCTTTCCTTCAGACCGGCTACCGGTCGAGGATCTGTTGTGTCCACTGCGCTCAGTGCAACCAAGCTTTGCGTTTTCTTGTTGTCGCTTCGTTGAATGTACTTTCGTCGTTTCGTCATTTTGGCTGGCTGTATGACCAACAAGGGAAACATGTTGTCGATATTCGGCTTAGTCGGGGTCGATGAAGACCAAGAATTTTTTTACCCTATCAATTTAAAAGCCGATTACTTCTTTAACATGCAAGTCATGGCCCGAAACGCTTGCATTCTCTCGCTCACGAAGAGTTTTTAGCGTATTTTCTTATATATGGAAAAAAGGCGCTATTGTGCTCGTCATGTCCGTCCGTCCGTCTGTCTGTCGGTCTGTCCGTCCGTGACTTCTCGGACGGACGAGAAAATTCGCCCTCTGTCACTCACTGCAATGAGTACTGAGTTATATTTTTTTCTTTAAAGAGTGTTTCCTGTAGCAACTGACAATTTTATTACAGACATGGTCATAGGGCTCTTTCATTTATATTTACCGATCCTAGTTGGCACTTATCCGCAATATACGTAATTTTCGTTGGTTTTTACCTGCAGGTGGAAGTCCCAACTTGCCGGAAGGCCTACCCAGTGCTTTCTACCACGGCTTCAAAGGCTGTATCGATCAGCTGCAGGTTTGTACACCTAGTAATCTTACACAAATATAAATATATATTATGAATAAATATATATACATATAAATATTTATTATAAAGTGTCAAATAAAGAAAAAAATATCATCAAACTTTCAGCACTCAGAAAGATGAAGTAAGAAGTATCCTTCAAATGTTAGAGCAAGAAATCTCATATTGTCAACTGAATACTGAAATCTGAGGATCAAAAGCCGTGGACTTGTTCCACTCCTTCTTGTATCATCAGTCATATTAATGCCCAACGCATTTCTGGCAAATACAGCAGGACCATCAATAAAGAGATCGGTGCAGCCTTGCTATGCCTTCTACTTAGTTATTAGTAGGATGGCTAGAGCAGCTTACTCTCCTTACAAGCGAATGATCACGGCCTGATAACCCAGCGTTCCTTTTTTGTGCCACATATTATCTGTGTCGTATTTTCTTTTGGGTCTGAGAAAGTCATACGAGAAAAACATTAATTGTAATATAATAGCTTGTTGCTTTCATAAGAGAGTTTCAATGCTTGTAAATAAATTATGTTTTATTGTTTAGTTCACTATTTATGCTTATACGATGATATCAACTGCAATTTTTTCCGTGAAATATCTTAACCTTTGAAATACTATTTTGTTTTGCAGAAAAAAATTAACATGAATTCGTTTTTTACTGTACAGCGCTTAAGCTGCATGCACATAACCTTGCTAAAATAACTTTTTAGAATCTCGACATCTTTAAGAAGAATATTTTATATCAATATATACTAGCAATCTTCATCACTTTTAACTATGCTTGCACTATATGCTAATAATATTCAGGAATAGTCGCTCTATCTGTTTATTTACAGGTGCTAGATTACTGAAGAATAGTAGCTCTGTTTGTTTATAGGTGCTGTAATACTAAAGAATAGAAGCTTTTAACACCCTATTATTATTATTTAACACCCTATTATTTATTGGCGCAATTATATTATATAGAAAAAGTAGTTTCGCACACCTGATCTGCTTACACATGCAATGCCATTGATAAATAATTAGGTTACCACCATATCTGTTTGTTTGCATCTGCGATACTATTGCTAAACAGTTTTTATAATGTCATGGCTAAATACTTGGGCTACCGCAGTATCTGTTTGTTTACATGTACGATTCCATTGCCTAACAACTTTTTATCACCATGGCTAAATACTTAGGCTATCGCAGTACCTGTTTGTTTACATCTGCGATACTATTGCTAAACAGTTTTTTTATCACCATGTCTGTTTGTTCACAGGTGCACAACAGAGACGTAGACTTGTCCTCCCACGTGGGCGCCGAGAAGATCCAGTTCTGTGATAGCATGAGATAGCAGCGATAACGATCTGTAGCCACGTTTACCAATTACAATTTATAAGTAGTTTGTAAGTGGCCACTCAATACCGACGGTTGGCCACTCAATGCCGATGATTGGCCAAGGCCATTCATATGGCCAAGAATGTAAGACCATGACAGGGTTTTAGCTGTATGATTTGTTAATACCTCATTGCAATTTTTCGCTCGTTCATCTTTTTCTTTTCGCTTACCGATGCGTGGGCACCGAAAATTTAGATATCGATTTATCGGTTTGGCCACAGGCAAGACTGGTATACTTTTTAGGTTAAAGAAAATCTCTTTGATAACATGCGTATCGATACGCGTTTTGGCGCAGTGAGATTATTCATAAACGTTCGTCTGGTCGACATCTGTTTGCCAGAAAAAAACGAAATTCGTATTCACGATACAGACTTTAATAAATTATACCTAAGCGTATTATTAATCATTGTTATTGTATGAAAAAAAGAAATAGATATTTTACCCGTGAGCCAGAAAGTTGCTATTGCATCTAGAATAATTTTGTAATATTTGCATGTATATAAGTTGAACTTTATGCTCGTGAATTGGCAAATTGCTCATATATTTATCAGTCGTGATGAATGGGGAGATAGAAAACGCAAATAATTGTTATTATTCAGCAATAAACTTGATTGAAATGTAGTTTTTGAATCGTATGGAATGTCTGCATTGATTTATTCTTCCACTATTTCAGCGTGAATGGTACAATGTTATTTAGAAATTTACGTACGAATCTCAGGGAAGTTGGACACTCGTAAGTACTGATAATTGTGAGGACCCACGATGATCGTAAATCTAAGTTTGCTTCATTATATCATTGGTTTAGCTACAAACCCAAAAATTGATTCGCTGATCGTTTTTCGTTGCTAAAATTATTTTTTACATCTGCAATAACACAGCAAAATTCGAACTCGTGCAGCCATTCAGAACTCAAACATTTAACACGAGCTGCCAATCAGGGCTCTCGCTCTTAACTACAGTGACCAATTAAAACTCTGGCTTTAAGCCATTTTAAGCCAATCCCAGGAGACACCTCTGCGCCATACGAATAACGATCTGAACAAGCATGCAGTGTTCGGCATCTAAAATATGCATTTTAGCATACACTTGTAGCATACACAATATGCATAAATAAAATAAATATGCATACACATGTAGCCTTTGAGGTATTGCTTAAAATTTATTTGAGGCACGCAACATGAAAAAAATCTGGTTCATTTACTAAGTAATTGCAGTCACTATGAGTGGCATTGCCCGCCACTTTTGAAGTACCGTAGTGCATTTCACGTAAGTGCGGCATTTAAAAAGAGATGTGGCAAGCGCAAATACATAACTTATATTATTGTTTTAATAATAAAATTCACTGTTTCACTAAAATTCATTTGGTTTTTAGGTTATATATACACGGGGATAATAAATAGGACAGAACATCGCATAAACTTGGTGATTTTGCTCATCAAAAGGGCGTTTCAGTGCTACGTCTGCTCTCTGCTCATGTCATGGCTAAGAAGCTAGGTCATTATTCAACAGTTAGACCCATTTACTTTTATGAGTGATGCGAGCCTCGACCACTGCTCATGCAGCCTATGTCCTCGTGTTGGCCTTCTATCGCGCATGCAAGTTCTTTACTCGCTGTGCGTACGTGTTGTGCATATAATGCATTAGTATTTCCCATATGTTTACAGGTGAACATATCCTTCAATTATTGCTTTTATGTTTGTCCAAGTTCCCGGGCGAAACGTTCTATTACAGTTCTAATTTATTCTTATAATTTCTTGTTCATTTTGAACCCTATTCTGCTTTCAAACCTGAAATTTTAACTCTGAATTAGACTTACTCACCCGGAATTGTTCTATCTAATTTTATTGCCTCAGAATGGGGCATGCATCTCACCTAATTCGCCTCTTAATTAATTAAAACAGTTTTGCATCAAGTTTGTTTTTATATTCTAAAAATACGGCGAAAATTATGCTAATAAATGCAATGATTTACCTAATTTGAATTCAATATATTTTTTCCATTGAACGCAACGATGTAACGCTGAATGTTAGTGCGTGATGCCAGAATTGTTTTATTTTAACGAAGTAAAAAAATTTTATGGATTCTAAATCTTACTTGCAGTGAAGCTTTCTCATCTTATCTCATCTCTCATTGCTTTCTAGTTATTTTGTGATTTTTCGGGTCATGAATTAAGCGCAAAAAACACTTCGTAAAATTTATGTCACAATCTTATCCACTTCTAATTCAGTCAAAATGAATACTTTTCGAGATTTATGACTCACTGCCGACAAGCTGGAACTCCTTTGAGACGAGACACTTTGAGAATTTTATGGTCTGGTGTTGATGGAACGGCGCTCGTCAAAGAGCAAGTGTTCGTAAAGAAACCATTACCTATTGTACGAAGTGCCATCCTCAGCTAACGCGCGTCGTTACTTTACGTACTCTTGATTATTATCCCAATTGGTGTAGCTCATTCTTAAGAGTTTCAGAACAAGGAATTGCATCGCTCAAAAATATGGCAATTATATAAGCGCGTAAAATGTACAAGAACTTTATAGTGCAAGAAAATAATGCGTGTCAACACACCATAAATGATGACTAGAAATGGTGAGTTTTATGATGATTTTGCGAATAATGTGCTCGTTATTACAAATATTTTACATGCTTCCTGGCAAATGATGTTTATTATTGACGAAAGACCTCTATGGATATTTATCTGGCCTTAAAATGTATCTTTTTTATTCTCTTTCTTAAAAGATAAAAAGATGATATTTTATCTAATGGAAGAAAATCATATAATTGTTAAATATAATGTCTAAGTTGAATTGTATTAGCATTTTCAGTTTCCATATATATCTATTTATAAACAAAATTACAAAACTATCTATTCTCGAGAGTGGATTGTAAATGACTGAACGTTGATTGCATTAGAAAACTCACGAAAAAATTATTAATGTTACTCAATACCATAATATAATATTTAGTAGTTCTATAAATATTAAACCCAAGAATTATTTAATAATAAAGCCCTGTAATTATGTAAAATATTGTTTGTGTGTTTGCACTCGTTTTTAGCAAAATACAGAAAATATACAGAGTCTCTGTTCTTTCATTGCCTTTATTAGTATTATAAATATTTATTTAGTATATATAAATAATATATAAATTATTATTTAGTAATTATTTCATATTTTCATTTATAATTTGAGCTGTTAAAATATCGAATTCAATATCACTTGTTTAGAAAATTATGGCTGGCAGTTTGCTATGATTATGCGTCCTCGTATGAATAAGAATTGCTCGAAATTTGAATAGAAGGCACCTGAAATAAAATGCTGGAGCTCGGTCTTATTGTTCCTAGCAATTAAAACCTGCCGCAGCTCTCAGAAATAAACTGCAATTTGCGAGGTCTGTTTCTTGCACCACATGGAACACTTCAAATATAAATTATGGATTCAAAATGAAAACATTTTCAACGCTGACTAATCTCTAAACTATTATGCTTTGGTAAAATCCTCGTGGTTTAATAATCTGATGCAGTTTATTTAATTTCTCGTTAATGAAAAAATAAATAAAGTGAAAAATATATAAAAAATAGATATTGATGTAAATCTAATCTGCGGGGATTTCGGGGTATTCTTCCTTAAATGATCAAATTTTCTCTAGCAAACTCTAATTCTATTATCCTTCCATTTGTTCAATTCTTAAAATAAATTTCAGTAGGATTACCGAGGATCTACTTGAAACAATAACTATGTATATCAGGTCACGGATTTGAAAATATTTTTTGGGCAGAAATCAAGCGTGAAGCCAATATGGTACCAATAGTGCATTCACTCGGCTCATTTAGTAAATGATCGCAGTCTGTAGTCTGTTAATGAAGCTCCATTCAATGCCGAATTTTAGGCCTTGGCTTCCGCGGACATGTCAGGCGATAGAAATTATATGGAAGCTCTGAGCCCGGAAGACTCCGGGCCTCCGGTAAAAAACGAATTTTATTTAATTGCAACACAACGTAAGCAGCGAAGCTTGAAGATTCCGTTGCCTCTGCCTGGTATTGTAAATTATTGAATTTAGTTCGATGCGAGGCTACGAGAAATCCTATACTAATATATGTTCTACAAGATAAAACATCTACGACGTTTACTCCAGATTCTAGGACTTCCTCACTACATCGTTAGTCCTTCAGGGCGACGCTATACTGGAGCTCGTAATTAATGCTGTCGATCGGTGGCGGCAAGTGAAAATTACGATCATCGTATATAATCAACGTGCGTTCAGTTCGGTAGTTACTTACTGCGTGGATTATCATCCCAATAAATAGAATACACTAATGACAGCAGGTAAAGGTCCAAAAGAATGATTTTATTATTGGGAAAAATCATGCTGTGATGATTTTCTTACCATTGTGAAACTCTGTTGCTGGAATTTCATCTTCAAACTGTCATATATGGATGCAAATCTACAGTGTCTATTACCAGATATTGCTACAAATAATATTTAAAAAATTTCTAAAGCCATATTGTGGTCCAGAATATTTGGTGTATTCTCATTTCATTTAGTGAAGCCTATTATTAAAATTGTACAAGTCTTCTTTTGCCGCAAAATTGTGGCGATAATTAATCAAAATTATTTTCTTCTGACATTTCTAAGAGAATTTTTAATTTTGTCGAGCTAATGATAATATGAAAGAATATTGGAGGCATTTGAGCTCTTCATTACTGAGACGAACTGAGGAACTTGAGTCATCAACACAAAATTAGCATTTCAGAGGCCTCTTGTGACGAGCAAATGACCTGTGTCGCTCACGCTGCAGATTTATATGCATATTCTCTTACCTATAAGCGACAAATATTCACATTATTTGAGTCCCTATCTTTCTATTCATTAGTTAGAATGATATGTATGCGCGTAATGTGTTGCCCTGGTCGTCAAGTTCACTTTATTATAAGTAAAGATGATGTGACTCGATTAAAAAGTTGATCTACAACATGTTCTCACAACCTTAACCGTTGATGTTCACATATGTATCTGGAAATGTGTCTTAGATGCATTACCTATAGTGCGATGTTGATGAATGATTTTAATTACTTGTTGTGCATTCATTCTACTGTGATGCTTAGTGCTGCTGCTCTGATTGTGCTGACATCATAAGTGGGACTTCTTATTATGCTTGTTAGAGCAATTCTGAGTAAGCGCGGCTATACATTTCAGTTGATTTGTTCATTTTTGCATGCCCAAGTTATTTTTGAGTCATTACAATTTTTCTGAATTACAATACAATGCCAAAAGATATTTCAGTTTCATGCCAGTTTATGAACAAATGAGGTGGTGCAGCACGTGCGATAGCAAAGTGTCACTCGCAGCCTCTCTGCTAATTTAGCCCCTGCTTATAATTCTGAACCTGTTCGTCGCTAATTGGGAGGTCCTCATTAAGCTTGCCCTCGCTACCCCTCAATACAGGATTCACCCAAATCCCTACAAGTGCGTGAGCGTTTTACAATTTTTTTGTCCAATTGCAAATCTTTTTTTCTTGTTTATGGCACGCGATCACTTCCCGCTCTTGGGACTGACGAGGCCTCGAGTGATGCAAACGCGGCTGATGAGGACCACGGGAATCAAAAATTGGCGACTTTCACTACACTTTTTGTGCGCCTCACTAGCTAAGCCGCTGAGCCTTCACAAGAAATTTGGCTCGTGGCCCGACCGGCATTTGCGAAGCTGTATTTTTGGACCTGCTTTTGAGAGGGCGTGATTGCATGGAGAGCTTCAGAGCTAGATTGCATCTTTTGAAATTAGAGACGCCCGCAAAAGTTAACCGAGGATCATTGATGAAAAAGTGAGAAGGAGCCAAAAGTCTCGCAGAAATTGCTTGGATTTGAATGGTTTGGAAGGGGCCTTTCAGCAGTGAATGAGATGTTCATGCTTGTGATTCAGTTTATATCCAATTGATGTGTGGACCATTGGACCACGGTTAATTTGCATTGAATGGCTTTCACGGACGATTTTATTTGAGTTTCAGGATGTATATCAGACAAAGAAGCACATCAAAAAAGAAACAGAGGTGTATAATTTGACACTTTCTGACTAAAACTTGGGATTTAATTTTAAAAACTGATGACTTAAATTCATTCTATATTTGAACTCACGGCCATTCATTCTATATTTGAACTCAACGCTTACTTAAACTTTGCAATGAAAAGGTGCATATATCAACTCTGCAATATTTCGCTGCATGTATCCTAACGAAATTTTCAGCCTTTTGATCGTGCGAAATTTAATCACTTAAGAGCAAACGAATTTGCATTTTGGCATTCATCAATTCTAGGCAGACAATTTAGAAATTCTTTGGAAGGTTCTAGAAAAACTTCAGGTGCGTTGTTTTATATCGTGTATAGAACATGGAAATTTAGGTAAGAAAATGAACTTGCACGTTCAAAATAAGAATTAGAGAGTAGAGTTTCCCTTTTAATCAGGTCACGTAGACGTATATTTGAATTTGTCCGATTTATAGTTATAATTCCAATTATTTTTTGGTCAACGTCCTGACATGTGAAACGTGATTTTGATATTAATTTGGATTTTGACGATTTATGAAGGCCGTTTATGCAGGAACTTTTTATGTATCTTACCTTCTTTCGAAATTTCAATCTAAAAAAGAAACATTCTTTTCATTATATTGCTTCGATTTCAAGTCCAATTTTTGAACCACGGGAAAGAAATGATCCTCATAGAATGTCTGCAGGTGACGTCAAAGCTACACCAAAAATTTTATTATTTTCACCGACAACGGAGTGCTACGTGCCAGCTGATGTTTAGGGCACACTTCAAGGTTTCTCATAATTTTTCAACTCTCAAAAATATCTTACGAAATTTTTTGCCACGAAAAATTATCTTGTGAAGTAGAAGCACGTCAGCGGGCGTAGCAGCAAAACTGCAGCAGAATTGTGGC